CTGTTTCTTTACTTTGATTTCTTTGCTGTGAATAAGCTTTTAAATTTTATGTAATTTAATTTTTCCATTCTTAGTATCATTCCACGAGCTATTGGAATACTTTTCAGAAACCACTTACATCTGCGTATATCTTAGAGTGTTTTTTTCTTGATCGCTTCAGAGTTTCAGGGCCTATGCTTTGGTCATGGATCCATTTGAATTTTTTTTGACAAGGTGAGAGAGAGGGTTTTAGTTTTACTCTTCTGCATTTGAATGTTCAATTTCCTCAGAACCATTTGTTAAAAAGAGCCTCTTTTCTCCAGTGTATGTTTTTGAGAACGTTGTCAAAAAAAGTTAGTTTTTGCTGTGTGAATTTAATTCTGTTTATCTGCTACAGTGATCTACATATCTGTTTTGTATCAATGCCATACTGTTTTTTTTTTCTCTGACTGTATAGTATAACTTGAAATCAAGAGTTGTTTTAAGCCCAGCATAATTCTTTTTGTTCAGAACTGCACTGGCTACCAAAGTATTTTGTGCTTTCATATTTAATTTAGTATGGCTTTTTCTATTTTTATAAAGAATGCCATTGGGATTTTGATGGGCATTATGTTGAATCTGCAGATTGCTTTTGGACACATAGCCATTTTCATTATATTAGTTCTATCGATCTATGAGCACAGGAATTTCAAAATTTCTAGAATCCTCTTCAATTTCTTCAGTTGTTTAAACATTTTCATTGCTGAATTCCTTTATTCCCTTGGTTAACTTGATTGCCAGGCATTTTATTTTATTTTGGTTTTTCGAGACAGGGTTTCTCTGTGTAGTTTTGGTGCCTGTCCTGGATCTCGCTCTGTCACCCAGGCTGACCTCTAACTCACAGAGATCCTCCTGGCTCTGCCTCCCGAGTGCTGGGATTAAAGGTGTGCGGTGGCCTGGCAGCGTTTTATTATTTATTTTTTAAGATGTTATTCATGTTATTGCTTTCACTTGATTCTACAAATTTAGGAACTTACTCTGATTTCTTCACTGATCACCATCAGGTAACATGTCATTTAGTTCCCACAAGTTTGTGTATGTTCTGCAGTTGTTTTGCTCATCATTTTCAGCTTTATTTCACCGCTGTTAGATGGAATCCCAGAAATTATTTACATTGTCTTATGTGTATCGAGACTTGTTTTTTTGTCCTAAAATATTTTCCAGAATATTTTAAATAAGAAATTTCCATGGGCTAGTGAGAGGAATGTGTATTCTACAATGATTGATTGGAATAATATAGATGTTTGCTGAATTCATTTGTTCTTTCACGGAACTAAACTTCTGACATTTCTTTGTTGAGGGTTTGTTTGGATTACCTGTCATCAGTGAGAGTGAGGTATTGTAGCCACTCACTGTTCCTGTGTTGGAGCAATCTATTTACATACAGCAATGTATAACGCATATGTGTTTAGAACTGTAAAACATAAATTGACTTTCTTCATGTCTTTTGACTAGTTTTAGTTTGGAATCTAATGTGTTGGATATTGGTATTGCTATAGCGGCTTGCTTTCCGGTTATATTTGCTTGGAATATTTTCCATTCCTTTCACTCTAAGGCTACATGTTTCTCTTTTCCAGTGAGGTCCATTTCTTATAGCTGAGAGATAGATAAGTCCAGTTTTAAAATCCACCTTCGTAGTCTATGTCTCTTAAATTAGAGAACTAAGACAATAGTAGTCAGGGTTACTATTGAGGGATGCTTATGAATGCCTGCCTGTTAGTTGTTTTCTTAACCTGTATTGCTTATTTCTTATTCTAGTGTCACTGACTATTACTTTTACCTTGTGACCTGATGGATGTGTCTATCTTTTGCTTCAGTGTATAGAATTCCTTCCCACACTTTCTGTGGTGATAGATTTTTGATCATGTATTTCATTAGTTTGTGATCATCATGGCGTTCTCTACCTTATTTGTGAAGAGTGACTACGCTGGACAGTGTACTGTGACTTGGCAGTGTGGTGTCTAATAAGACATCAGTCACTGAAGGCATGGAGAGAAAGGAAATAAGCAGAGTAAAACTAGTCATCATGATAAAAGTAGAGAAGGGAAAAGTAAATGAAGGGGAAACAGTAAAGGCAAAGGGAGAATTTAGGGCTGCTTCATGGAAAGAGAAAGAGGGGGAAATGTGGTCTGAGTGCCTAAAACAATCTCAGCACTTGGAGGTTGAGGAAGGGAGAACTTCAACTCCAGGCCCGCTTCTGTTCTCTGGAAAAACCTTTTCAGAAGTCAAAGGAAAATAGGATAGTACAAGACAAAGCTGATCCAAGGTTGAAATTAGATATTAAATAAGAGAAAAATAAAAGAGAAGGAAAGGACCTGTTCGAGGATGCAACTTCTTTGTACATCCCTTGCATGAGCATGGGTGCAGGCCTGTCCTTGGACAATCCTTCATGTAGGTGCAGGCCTATATGTGTGGTGTACTCTAGACTGCGTCTCAGTTCAGATTTCTACCTCCCTGAAAATGCATGATTCTAATTTAAAGCTTTTCTCGCCAGCTAGTGGTATTCTGCAGGCCATAGCTCAACATGTAGTCCAGTGACTCTTGGGGTGAGCCCTGCAGGGAGGGCAGTGGACTCCAGAGTCACTCTGCTGTCAACTCCGTGGTGATGGGGTCTTTTAAAAAATGACTTCTTTAACAATAAAGTCTTATGACACCAGACTTAGAGGAATTGAGCTAGGTTGATTCAAAAGCCTCCTCCCAGAAGACTCACGTTCATAGTATAGGAAGGTGCTATGCAAACTGCCAAGGAAGAAATATCCATCAATAACCCCCTGTTCCCCATGCTGTGATGTCTATGAACCACAGCAATGAACAGCATAGCAAGCTATCCCCAAAGGGACAATAGTGGCATTTATATCTCAGTGGTAACCAACAGCTGTCCAATTGGACTCATGGCCCGACCATTAGGCAGAAATTGAAGCTTGGGACTGTAAACCTAGTGTGTGTGTATGTGTGTGCATGCGTGTATGTGTGTGTGTGTGTGTGTGTGTGTGTGTGTGTGTGTGTATGTGCTTTATGTGTGTGTAAAAATAGTAAGAAAAAGGAAGTGAATTTGAGAGAGAGTGAGATTTGAGGGGGGGGTGAAAGAGTAGTTGGAGAGAGGATAAAAAGGGGGAAACGATGTAAATACAGCATCCATATGTGAAATTTAAAAAAGTGGAGCTGGGAAACCGAGGAAACTCTCTTGGATTGCAAATACAAAAGAACCACCTAGAAGCAGGAACTTCTAACTCACTGAAGCAGAAAGCCCATGAAAGTGTCACTTCAATATTTCATGACACCCTTGCTTGTGCATTTAGATCAGTGTCATCTCAGAAATGGCACTCAGAGCCAGTTTACCACCATGACAGAGGCTTCCATGGAAGGTCAGCGAGATCACAACTGAAGGAAAACACTGTGGTCTCAGTACTCTCTCTCTTTCAACTGTTATGGGATCATCTCAACAAGATAAACTTAAGTCCCACGTCTCTCAAGTACTCCTAACCAGCTACAGGAAATCGAGGCAGAACACTGATGACTAGTCCTGGCCTAGCCAGTTAACGACGGGATAGTGTCACTGTCCAAAGGTGGCCTATGGCATTGCTTAAGGTGGATGGTTCTTATTGCTTGAAAAGATAGCTGTAGGTTGAACTCTGATACATGAGCACATATCAAGAAGTGATTCACTGGAATATTGTGCCTACTGTACATGAGGCATATATGTGGGGTGGGGAAGGAATGTTTAACACAGACTGGAACAGGTGCACACACAATGCTGACACCAAGGGACCTCCTGGACACTCTAGTGAGACAGCTGATTGTGAGGATTGTCCTGAGAGCCGCCGACAGTCCAAGGTTTAGCTCTCACTTGTACACCTGTGCATCATATCCAGCAGGCATCACCAGCCAGAGCTCTACACTGTCCTCATCAGGGCCGTGTGACATGTAGTTTTCCCACACTGCTGGAATTGAAGTGTGTTGGGGAGAAGGAAGTGCTGTAATCCCACTATAACTTGATGAGTGCTTGGGGGACGGGCTATGAGCACTTGCACAATGATACTAAGTGAATGGATATGAGAGAATGTGAGATCTACAAGTCCGAATATAGAGACCAAATCTCCACTATCCAGCTGCCTTTGATGAAGCCACCCATGTCTGTCTCAGCGTGCTCATGTTCCAATGTTTTGACTTAAAATAACTTCAATGTTTAAAAAGTTTTCTTCCAGAGAGACAGTTTCCTTCCACAATAAAATGCCCTTTTCAATAAAAATCAATTCCAGCCGGGCGGTGGTGGCGCACGCCTTTAATCCCAGCACTCGGGAGGCAGAGCCAGGCGGATCTCTGTGAGTTCGAGGCCAGCCTGGTCTACAGCGCGAGATCCAGGAAAGGCGCAAAGCTACACAGAGAAACCCTGTCTCGAAAAAACCAAAAAAAAAAAAAAAAAAAAAAAAAAAAAAAAAATCAATTCCAAATGTTACAGGAATTACACGAGACACCATGAAGTTCAAAGCAAACCCTCAAATAAAATGCTTTATTTTGTCTGCTAGTACATGGCACAATTTTGCAACTGCTTCAGTTCATCCTTGGAGGTAGTAACCAGCCCAGAAAATTCCCTAAGATAAATGAAAATATATATTTTCTAAAACTGAAAATAGGTCAAATCTCTCTAAGTGACTTATTATATTAGTGGTCATATATGATAAAGAGAATGATAGTAGTTGACATTTGGAGCTATGATGGACCTAAAAAGCTTTGCTAGAACAAACATTTAAAACATATTAGGCTAATTATTTAAAGACTGTGATATTTCAATAGAATATTTTCTCATTTTCAGCTAAGTGTAATTTTTATTTTTGTCTTAATGGTATGATCTTTTTATTTCAATTATATATCAATTTATAATGTAAGCCATCATAAATCTTGGTTGCCTTGAATAATAAAAGTAACTACTATTTATATATAGTATACATTTGTGCCAATAAAATGTTCTTGACATATTTCAGAGTACAGATGATTCTGATATATCTGTGATTGCCCAGAACAAAAAATGCTTTGACAATGATATTGTTTGTTCTAAAAGTGTTTTGATATCCATTGGGGACACTGAAATCTACCTCAATGATGCTCCTTACAAACAGGTTAGTAAATTCTTTCCTTTATGATAATCCTAACTTATACTATTGATAGAGAAAACAGACTAGAAATGTTTTGGATAACTCTGAATATATGTTGTTAGAAGATCTAGATTGTTTTCTTTGTTATTTTGTGTGGGTTTTTGATAAACCATATCCTGCTTGCATCTTCTGCTTATATTATCTATTGTCATATTTCAATTATGTCTACAATTTTTCCTCCCCGTGTTCAGCATTCTGGCTTTGAGAACCAACATCTGTTATATGAGTTCCTTTAGTAGCCTCCAATCTATCTTCCTAATATTCCAATTAAGCCCCCAGCCTTATTCCATCCCTCCCACTGCAGCAACAGTGGCTTTCCCCATGTAGAAATCTGACTTCCTATGTCTGCTGTACTTCAAAAGTTTCAGATGTCTTTCCGTTGCTCTGCTAGGTTCTTACTAATTAGGCTGTTGTCCATCTTTTCCTACCTCACCTCTTGGGGTTTTCTTTTTCAATTCCATATGCCAGAAGTTGAATCACTTTCCAGTTACTTACATATTCTAGATTCTTTTTACTCTCCTCTGTACTTTTAGAAAAAGTGACTTATGAAAATATCTGTCTGTTTAACATATTCTGTGCAGTATGCCCCATTTCCTTTGTGAAACTTCTCAGGATGCTCTCAAAGACCCTGTTAAATCAAATTCCTTGTGTGTTTATCTGTGTTTCCCATGTAACTATGAGCAATGTATGAAGTAAGATCATTGTGTCTTCCACTTATTCTTCTATACCAGAAATTTGTCCAATTAAAAGATGGAATCAGTTTTATTCATTCACCTACTTATTTACTAATTCTAGATATGTCCACAATATACTAAAACTTGTGCTCAATTTTTAGGCTGTAATAGTGAAAAGATACTGCTTGCCTTTAAGTAATGTACTTAAGTGAATAATGATTCTCTAAGGGAAATAAGATCGGACAGTGTGATGTGATATGCCAGGGTCTCCATAGGCTCCTAGAAGAACTCCTGGGAAAAACCACTGAAGCAACCCTAAATTTTCAAAGAAATTTGGAACATAGATTTGAGAGTCACTCAGAACTGATTTAACATCCCCGCCCATCACCTACTTGCTGTGTGACTCTAGCAAGGTTTTTGGAACTCCTCAAACTTCAGCTTTCCCTCAGCATGACTACAAAACCACCTTCTTCAGTCCTGTGGAGATTGTAATGGAAGTATGGAAAAAATGAATTTTAAGAACTGACCCCTCTTCCCCTTATCATCCTTATTTTTATTAAGAGACATAATCTGAACTAAATCACATAAGAAGAGCTGAATGAAGATAATAGGTGATGGATACATGAATATAGATAGATGGAGAGGGAGAAAAAGAGCATTGCAGGGAAATGATCACACTCAAAGGAGCAGAATCGGAAGACAAAATGTCGTGGTTGGTAGTAGGAATTGGCTCAGGTTAAAGCAAAGTTCCTGGGATGACAGGGCAAGGGTGTGGCTGAGATTCTGGAAGGTGTGAGAACAAGCGTGGCTGCCAAGGGTTCTAGGCTCAGACCGGAAGCTCCTAGATGACACAAGTCCCGTGAGCTTCATTTCGAAGGCAATGAATTTGGAGCTTTGGAGTGTAAGATCTGACAACGGTCTTTTAAAGGCCACCCTTTCAAACAGAATTCCCAGAACACCGTTTTCCTAAGTTTTCCCTGAAACTCATTTTCTTGAAAGTCGTCTGGAACATTTGCTGAAAGGGCTAGTTTCTGTATTCTGCCTCTGGCACCGGAATAGGTAAAGGTGAAAAGACATGGCAGGTCAAGAGAAAACATGAACCCTCTCTGCTAAAGAGAGGGATATTTCTCAGTTTTAAACAAAGGCCGCACTTTTTTCATTTGGACAGGGCCTGTGATTTGCGTAATCCGTTGTGCCCCTGGAGTACTTTTTGACATTTTTGCTACTTTGGTTTTCAATTGTATCCCCAAAATCTTCAACTGCTGTTTGAGAACCTTGTGTTTCAGGTAGAAACATCGAGAGTAGCCACACAGCAATCAGACAAGACGAAACGGCTTCTACAGTCATGTTGACATCTATTTTAAGTAATTACAAACGTTCAGCTTAGCCATTAGCTGGGTATTCATTTATAGGTGAAGGTCTCTCTCTGATCAAGGATGCTTTTTCAAAAGGAGAGAAATTGATTAAATACTCATGTAAAGGCAATTTGGCACATTTCTGAAGTGGTAATTACAGCTCTATGTAACTCCCAGCCTCCAATTTTCACCTGTACACAGGTGTTGATAGATCTCCTTTATTTAGATTGTGAGGAATGAAGTAAGATGAAGAAAAACCACAAGAATCGTTTGATCCCAACAAGTTCCCAGCTAAAATGTCTTTCTGGGAGATCATGAGTGAAGATACAACAAATGCTACTTACTTCATAACTAATGGACTGATCATCCCGGGAACTGAATAAACAACCCTCTGCTCTTTATATAAATGCACAATTGTAAGTCAATCAAATATGCCAGTTAAAAACCTTTTACAAATTGACCCGAGCTGTACTCAGAAATGCTTTAATTCTCTCCATTTCTGACTTATCTTTCTAACGTCATTCAGTTGTGTTTGGCGTGCTAAAGCACAGGCTGCTACGTTGGACAGTTCATTACTGACTCTTTTAGAAGGCAGCATTAGCCGATGAACTGAAAGGCAAGGAGTGCGGTCATTTCTTTTGATTGTCGCAGGCTTCCTTACCTAATGAGACAAGCATTTCGTACCTAATGGCCAATAGAAAGGGCGTGCTTTTGATCTAGAGCCACTGATTTAAAACCAGACTGCTGAGATGGAGAGAGCTGATAAAGACAAGTCAGGAAATAAAAATATACTAAAAAGTACAATGAAGATAAAAGTTGATGTTGTGACCGAGTAGTTTGGGGGAATAGCAGGTTATACAAACTGTGGGGCCTCCATCAAATGAAAATGTAGGGTCCTCGGAGTGGGGAAATCTGTTTTCCCTCTTGTTTCTTTTGTCAGGATTTTTTTTTTTTTATCCATTCGATATGTGCTCTTTTGGGCACTGATGTCCTTTCATGATGACTGCTGGCCTTCCTAGTGTGGAGGGCATCATCTTGTACTTGGTTCCCTGCTCACCCTGACCTTGTCCTGACTCTATGCCGTGGATGAAGTATAGCAGTGGCCCCCAAGCAGAGGCCGAGAAGCAAGAACCTGAAAACCAGTGCTGAGAGGTGGGAGATGCAAGACATAGGGTGCATGTGAGTCAGGATGCCATGGCACAGATGCGTGATCTTTATCCTGCTGGATTTGACTCACGAATCATAGACTCGAAAGTAAACTTGATTTCAATATGGAAGTTACAGAGCATTAAACCTCTAAGTGTGGGCCCAATAAATCAGTTTATTTGGGAGTGAGAGATAGTGTGTGGCATCCTGACGGAGGAAACATTTGAGTCACAAAGGGAATAAAGCAGTTATGCCATACTCTGGGGCAGGAGGAATGTCAAGTGTGTAGATTTGAGATGGTTCAAACAATAACTTGACAAGCTTAGCCAGCGAGAATAGATGATTGAGGAGTAGAAGAATTTGAGGCTAGGTAAAGCCAGTTAACAATATGGATGGCTATATCTGCTATGTACAAATATAGTTATAAGCATTATCTTGGTATCGGAGATGGAAAACACCTTATAAATATGACTAAGTCTATTTCACCTGTACTTTGAAATGGTCACTTAGACACCACTTCCGTATGGCATTCTCCCACTGCACTTAGTTATATTGAAGAAAAATGGATGAAAGATTTCCTCTTTCCAGTTTTTGTTTTCTTCTGGATAAAACAGTTTTCTTTTCAATACAACCATGGGTTTTCAAGATCATTTTATAAGCTCAGTCAATGGCTATGGTCATAATTATAGGTACTCTTGTTTTCCAATGTATTCCCCCTCCAATCCCTCTCACCCTTTCTAGTTTGCAAATTATTTCCTTTGAGTTTCCAAAGCATAGGTGATTACTTCCATGATCAAAGCCTTTATTGACTATATTTTGCACATGTGATAGTTACTTTGTTAGAGTTACTTGGGTGCTGAGGCCTCAGGCTTGGCTTTGTCATGGTATCCATGCTTCAGCCCTTGACTGCTTTTCTTAGACCTGAATGTATCTTGGATGGCCCTGGTCCCAAGCCTTTGTTTAGGCCATCCCTTCTGCTTCTGTCCTCATTTCTTCTCCATCATCATTACAGCTTCCTGTTCCTTTCTATACAGATTCTTTCCCAAGTTTAATACCTCCCCTTTGTAATCCTTCCTAAGTTTCTTCGATAGTAATTCATCTCTCCTCTCTCTGTCTATCTCTATCCCTGTCACTTTCCCATATACACACACTTCTGTGTATGCACATATATGTATATGTGTATATATACATATATATATACATATATGTATTGTGCTTTCTCTTTTCAGTTATCAAACTTTTTTTTTAAAAAAATATTTATTTATTATGTATACAGTGTTCTGCCTGCACACCAGAAGATGGCATCAGATCTCATTACAGATGGTTGTGAGCCACCATGTGGTTGCTGGGAATTGAACTCAGGACCTTTGGAAGAGCAGCCAGTGCTCTTAACCTCTGAGCCTTCTCTCCAGCCCTCAGTTATCAAACTTTTTAATCTAGAAAATTTTCACTAGACTGTGAAAGCACTGTATTTTTGCCAAATGTAACAATTCTGTATTTCATTAAAGAGTTTAATAACATTAGAAAGCCAATTTATGCTGTATTCAAATGCTTAGAATCATACACGAGGATACATTTTTCTTTTGAAGGGAAGAAAACGCATGTGTTTTCATCCTCACCCTTTTGTATTCATTGCTCCCTCCTATTCTGTGTGTCCATTTTTTTTCTCTTCCTTCTGTTGTCATTGGATTATCTTTTACTTTCCCTACGGTCTCTTGTGGAGCCCATCCTCTAGTTTTCATATGAACACCAATTTATTTAATACATTGATTTTTGTATTAGAGAATTAAAAAAAAACATGGCAAGCAATCATCTTAGATAAATATTGGAAGGCATTAATGTGTCCCCTCCTTTGGTTAGAGAGTGTGATATTCACTCTCAGACATTTTATTCTTTTTCAAGAAGCAATCAGGTTTCTTCCTGGAAAGCGAACCTGCATACCAGCTGTGGAAGGCTGGGCACTACATCGTAGTGTACTTTCCAGAGGAAGATATCACCATTCTGTGGGATGAGAAGACAACCATCCACATCAAAGTTGGGCCGCAGTGGAAGGTACGCCGACCTAACCCCTAAATGGGATGCAATGAATGGAACGGTGTTTATCTTTTCGTGTTTAAAGAAAAGAACGATGGAACAAATTGTTGGGCAAATTCAGTTTTAAATGATTTCTTTTTTGTTTATTTATAAGCTATAGAGAGCTATTTTCTAATTAAGTTATATTTTCAAAATCACCTTTAATACACTACATGAAGGACTTCAGAAATTGGAGTGCTGTCATACAAGTGGTGTAACAGAATGCTCCTTAGCAATATAAAGGAATAGACTATTAATTGGTATAACACAGGCTAATCTTCTTTAGTTCTTTTTCGCTTTAACAGCATACTATCTGTTGTTGCTTCATGCATTTTCCTTCTTTCTCCTCCCTTGAGTTTTGCTATGTGAGGGTTTTTTTTTTTTTTTTGTAAAAGAGATTCACTTATTATTATACTATTCTGTTTTCTCTATTTTGCTTCATATTGTAGCTTTTTAAAATAAATTCACATATAGTATAAAATTGTGGTAGTAAGTGAGTAGTAGTAAGGAACGTTAAAATTACCTCCGTGGCTCCGTGGATTTGGAAAAACATATGGAGTCTTGATCTAATACTGTGGTTCTTCACAAAACAAGCCTACCAACACCTGCTTTTCATGCTGGCTTCTCCCCTATTGCTAAGTCTTACCTCCACCTCCACAATCTGGAGAAATACAATTCTATTTCCACTGTTTCTATGTCCATTGTTTTTTCTTCCACAAATAACATATAAATGGAATTCTAGTAGTTTTGAGATCTTTCGTCTTTGACTTGCAAAATAAACATAAAATTTATCCGTATGGTATGAATTAGTATTTTTTTTCCTTTATTGTATGTAACCTGTGGTATGGATGTACCCTGATTTGTTTACTCATGGGTGGAAATGATAACTGTTCTTGGACAGATACAGTTTATAACACAGGTCCCATGCACTGTCTGCTTTTCTGAAGATAAGAAGTATGTCCATGTTACTTTAAAGGGTTACATTCCAGGCATTACTATTAAAGAGTGAGTTTAAGGAACATCAGTTTAAAGTTTAAGCAGGAGTTCCATTATTATTGGAATATCATCCACTTTTGAAAGTCTTAGAGGATCCTGCCTCTAAAAGTAAATTTTCTCGCAGTATTTTGAGAAAATCTGTTGGTCAGTACTGATGTGAATAGTTCCCATAGACACTGCATTCATCATTTCAGAACCTGTAGTGATCTAAGTTAGCTTTATTGTTTCAACATTTATACTGTTACAAAATCTTTAATATATAAAGTAGGTTTTTTATAAAAATTATTTATGCTTATATACAAGACATATGTATCAGTATATATTATATGTACATATATGTATTAATATACTTCAGTATATACTTTCCTATTTACATTGTTAGAAATGTTAATGCTAAGATGTTATAGTAAGTGTGGATAGATAGTTCTTGGAGGCTGGTAAAATATTTGGGGCCTGTTACATATTATAAATATAATTAAATTGATATGAAACCATTTTATTAAAACATTTTAAAAAATTATTTCTATGAATGTCCTTTATATATCTTAAATCTTTCAAGTTTTAATACATGTGAGTCATAAAATAAATGTAAAATATTTCATAATAATTTTGTTACTGTAGAACAAGCTGGCAGGATTGTGTGGGAACTTTGACAAATGTACTTCAAATGATATGACCACATCTAATAACCTGGAAGTGAGAAATGCCCAGGTGTTTGGAGACAGTTGGGCCTTAGGTCAGGTAAGTTACAGATATGGAATTTAGAACAAACAAAAGACTATTCCAAAACAGTCAAATTACTTATTTTTCATATAGCGTTTTTATAGTAATAAATAGTTGATGAACTTTCATAGTTACTTTTCTATGTAATTATTATGACAACTTTATTTTGCAAAAGTCATTGTCTCCACATTACGGATAGAAAGATTGTGTCTCAAGGAGGTTAAATGATTTGCCTGATACAAATTATGTGTTCAGACAGTAGCAAAGGCGACATTCAGACTCATACCGTCTCTCATACCTTTGCAAGCATATCAAAATGTCTTCTGCTCTACATTCATTCAGTAGATTTTGTTTAATATAATTTTCTTGCTATAATATAGACACAGAATATGAATATGATAGTCTCTACCTTTGAGGAATTTTAATGTTTAAGTTAATAGGTGATGTAGAAAATTTACCAAAAATATATTGATATAAATAGGTGTTTTAGTAGAAATTCACACCAGGTAGAAATTATAACATTCCAAGGAGGACTCCTGGAACAAATGCTGTGGAAATAAGGTCTTTAACATTACAAGACGTGAGAAGGTAAATCTTACAGCAGTGGTTCTCAGCCTTCCTAATGCTTTGACCTTTCATACAGTTTGTCATGTTGTGATGACCCCTCAACCATAAAATTACTTTCATTGCTGCTTCATAATTGTAATTTTGCTACTGTCATGAATCATAATATTAATATCTTATATGCAGGATATCAGATATGTGACCCCTTTGGGGGTCACAACCCACAGGTTGAGAACCACTGGTTTATAGGAAAGTGGATGGAAGAAAAAGGGAGGAAGTCACGCAGCAGATGTGTACAGGAGTGGAGAGAGTACAGAGCATAAAAACATCTAATAGTGTTCATATGGTTATGACATAGGGTTAGAAACAGAATGACTGAAAGATCAAGGATAGATCTCAGCAGGTGCAGGAGGCTCTTGTAGTATAGCCAGATTAGCTGTTAGGAGATACAGAAGGCTACAGAAATGTGAGAACATTAACAATGGAAACTCCCAGGACTTACTGCAGGACTTTATTGAGAAGTATGCATTTGGAAGACTCAAAAAAGCCTTATACCTTCTGGCACTAAAAATATCATCTGGAGTTCTCCCCTGGATAGGGCAAAGAGGGGGTGTATGTGTGCAGGAGTTGAGCTCAGGATATAGTGGAAATAAGTGTAGTACACCTTAGGATGTATTGAGAAAGATGTGATGGAAAGATATTTAGCTGGAGATGTCTAGGTTCAAAGTACAGGAAATAGCCCTGGTGTATAAATAGGGATTTGATACCCAGTAGCATATTCAGGCTATTGAAGTGAGGACAGTGTGTCAAATGAGGGGCATAGAGGTTTCAAGGCAAGGTTTTGCTAAGAAAGGTGGGAACAGGAAGTTGGAGAAGAAGAGCTAGTGTGGTGTAGTATAAGAAAACCCAACAGAAAACGTCATTGCTGAATCCAAATCTGATGAGACACTTAAGACAGAATCAAAGGTAAGTAAAGTTCAAGTGGCTGCAGACTGAGCAACTGCCTCTGTACTGAGAATTGAACAGCTCATTGGTGCCCTTTCTCGGGGAAGTTGGTAGAGGCCCACTAGAGACAGCAGAGGTCAAATGGTGGGGTTTATGGAAGTCGAGTCTCTGGAGATTATAGAGATCTGTCCATCGAGATCTCAGAAGATGGCCTGTGACAAAACCGGACAACATGAAAAGTTAGAGGGGAGAGAGCCATGCTCATAGAATTTTTCATGAAAAGATTGCGTTTGTGAAAGATTGAAAATGATTAATTTCCCTCTATAACATTACTCTGTCTAATATTTATGTTATTAATATATAGCCTATATGGGTGAAAACAGGCAGAGAGATGTAGGTAGAAAATGTCTAAAAGGGTGAAACTGTGTGAGATGCCGCTGTCATGGGTGGAGTCAGGAGGCAGGGTACTTTGGGTTCAGAGTTCAGCCCCTTTGAGGTCTTTCACTTGCCCTTTGATTTCCAACAGTGTGAAGATCCCATTGAAGCCCTGAAGCCCTGCGAGGCACACCAAAACAAATTTCCCTATGCCAAGAAAGAATGCTCCATTTTGTACAGTGATGTTTTTGCTCCCTGTCGCAACGTGGTAAATGAGTACTTTTTAACTAACATCTCAAATACAAAGACTTGCTGCTCCATGAGCTGAGATGAGCGGGATAAATTCAGCAGCTTGTCTTTCTCAGGGGTCCTATGGTCATCGTTAGGGACCTTTGTTAGTGTGTTTTCTCTATAAACAGCATGTTTAGTTGACCTGTTTTCTTCCTCATTCCATGTTATCTAAAAATGATTACTGCAGTTCATGTTAGTTGATGAAATACAATTTATTCACAGCATTTTGTAAATGTGTATAAATAACGAAAGGGGGACTGACGTTAATCTGTTGTCAGAGAGCATTTCAAGTGGACATTCTTTTCAACATACGTATAGTTTAACAGGATTCTTGGTGACATATTTAAAATAGTTTTAGGAGCTATTTCGAGAACATAACTTAGCTATCTAAGCTGCTTCCTCACATGGTAATTTTGGGTTCCAGTGGAAACTGGGGAAGTAATTTAGTACAGTTTTTAAAGCCAAGTAGCACCTCTGCGGCACGCCCCCTGTTTTCTCAAAGAAGTTACTTGTGTGGTTTTTGAGTTGTGGTCCGTGTTTGCTGTTTATTTCCCTGGGACGCCATGTTTACTTGAAATAACAAATGCTAGGAAGATATGGTTATTCAGACAAGAGTGTTTGGCAGGCATTTCTTGAGAGGAGGAGAATAAGTTTGCGGCTTCAAGGCAAATATCCAATGGCATCTGTTGTCCTTAAAAGAATTTAAACTATTTGAAGTGAAACATAGAATTTTGCAAATCTTGGCTCCATAACTGTGTGTTAAAAAGTTTTGTTATACTTTTCTGAAAATGCAGTTGATGATATGAACAATTTTCTGTGGCCCATTTTCTGTTGCATGTAATTAAATGCATTAATGTCTAGAAGACCTTTGTAAACCACACATTGTTCAAATAATCGATGCACGATGATACGGAAACTCACAGGAATAAAAGTTTATTTCAAAGGCAAGTTAAACCTACAGAGCTTGATCCAGCAAAGTACAGAGTTCACTGGCATGGTTCCAGATACCCTACCTAGTCTTTATGGATATCAATGTGGAGTTCCTTAAAAAATTATAACAAGAGCTGCCATAAATCCCAGCCATACCACTTCTCGCCTTTACAAAGGATCCATATCCTATTACGGAGACACTGTCCCATCCAAGTTTATTTATGCATATTCACAACAGCAAGGAAATTATATCAGTCATGCAGATGTCCATCAACAGGTGAATGCATAACAGAAATGTGGTGCATGTACACATTGAATTCTATTCAGCTGTGAAGAAAGATGAAAATGGATGGAGCTGTACAGTATTAAATACAGACTCAGAAAGGGAAAAAAAAACTGTGTGCTTAAAAGTTTTATGATACTTTTTTTATATTAATATTTGCTTATTTTTATTTACTTATTTTTAAGAAAATTCTTTTATTCATTTTATATACCAAAGATCCCCCTCTTCCCTCCTCCTGCCCCTCCAGCCTTCCCCTCCCAAAACACCCTCCATTCCCTCCTATAAGGTAAGGCCTCCCATGGGAAGGTACATTTAGTTGAGGCAGGTCCAAGCCCTCCCCTTGCCTCAAGGCTGCGCGAGGTGTCCCATCATAGAAGTGGGCTCCAGAAAGCCAGCTCATGCACCAGGGATGGATTCTGATCCTACTGCCAGGGGGCCCCTTAAGCAGTTCATGCTGCACAACTGTCTCGCTATGCAGAGGGCCTAGTCCTAGTTTTGTGATACTATTTTGTGTGTGTGATACACATGTTCTTCTCATATACAGATCCTAGCCTATAATGTATACATGTTTACGTATAAAGAGATGTAAGAGGATAAAGCCTGAAAATGTAGAAAGGAAACCAAGAAGATAATTAATAGGTGATGAGGATGGATAAGAAGTGAGGAAGGGCAAAAGGGACATAAAAGAAGCAAAGATTCCCTCCTCTTTGCCCAGGAGGCTGTGTGGGGGGACCAGGGATAGTAGGGGTGAGGCCATGAGGGAAATGTGGGGAAAGGAGAATCACTGAAACACGAGGAAGGGCAAAAGGGACATAAAAGAAGCAAAGATTCCCTCCTCTTTGCCCAGGAGGCTGTGTGGGGGGACCAGGGATAGTAGGGGTGAGGCCATGAGAGAAATGTGGGGAAAGGAGAATCACTGAAACACACTGTGTTCAAAGCAAGCCATAATGTTATCTAACACAATATATCCTGCTTTTAAAAAATAAAAAAGAGCCGGGCGGTGGTGGCGCACGCCTTTAATCCCAGCACTCGGGAGGCAGAGCCAGGCGGATCTCTGTGAGTTCGAGGCCAACCTGGGCTACCAAGTGAGTTCCAGGAAAGGCGCAAAGCTACACAGAGAAACCCTGTCTCGAAAAACCAAAAAAAAAAAAAAAAAAAAGCCACGGTTATGGATATAGCATAAAAGAACATCATCACAATTACTCAACCCCCAATGTATTAAGAACCATTAGCTTTCCAGTTATATGTTCACAGAGAACTTTTCTCAGATTTTGACCAAATACAAGTCACAGCAAAAATAGTATAGCACACTGCATGGGAAATCAGATACAAGAATCAAGGTTGTGTCCTGCAAAAAGACATTAAAGAAATCTGCAAAACTGTAAATAAAGCATTGCACTCTCCCCACTAATTTAATTTTGCTTGATCAAATACAGATTTTTACTAAAATATGCAATTTATGTTAATATGTGATACATTACTATTAAATATGTATTATTTTAAACACCTCAGTTGTAAGCTTTATTGTGATGACTCTGCTAATATAATTAAATATTATAATACACTAATAATATCAAAAGTTTTAGGAATTTAAAGGAAGTCCCTAGACAACTTGCTTCCTTAAAAGGCTTTATGTAGACCAGAGTCTTATTTATCAAAAGACTCATTTTGGGGTTTTTATGCTTGTTAGGGACCATAGTTCCTTGACAGGCAGTAAAATGTTCATTCTGGAACCAAGCCACAGAGCCTCGAGGCTCCTCTCCTGGATGCTACTTGAAAAATTAACCCATGCATTGGCACACCACAGAAAACACAAATGACTGATACCAAACCCTTCTTTTGTAACACATTGTCAATACTCTATCCAACCCCATCAGTGATTTAACAAGTGCAACGCAAAGGAAGTAATTAATTGCATATGAGACATTTAAAAGAAACTGCCACTGTCACTCATCATCATCAGCATATTGCCGCTTGGGAGACTAAGAAATAAAAGGGGGAAAAAAGCGAAGTGCATTTAGAAACAGAGCAAGCTGCTTTAATGCGGGTTGATTATGCCAAGAACGCAACAATGTAACAATAGACTTTGAAAAGTCTGAAATCTGCCCTAGTGCAGATGTTAAAACGAATCTATCTGTTAGTCTTACTTGTTTTGCTAGTTCTCCGAGGTGACATTTGCTTGGTAATTCCATTTCCTTTGACAACACAGTGGGCTGAGACAATTAGGACTACGTGGGTGGCAGTATTATGCTGATGACAGCCCTTGTGGAAAATGTGCACGTACTCTTCTCTCAGAAGTTGGAATTTAATCACAATCAGCGCTTATTGAGATCATATTATCTTCCATTTTACTTTCAGATCGACGTTACTTCTTTTGCCAAAAACTGCCATGAGGATACGTGTAACTGTAACCTCGGAGGGGACTGTGAATGTCTATGTACCAGTGTGGCGGCATATGCCTACAAATGCTGCCAGGAAGGGGTGCCTGTTCACTGGAGGTCACCTACTGTTTGTGGTGGGTACCTTGCTTAGGATATCATTAAGTGGATAGTTTTTAAGAAGATCCAAAGTAATTGCCATTTTATTGTGGGGTAATGCCATGAAGCTCATGGAAATACAATTTTTAGTTGTCTAAATTTCATAGTCTTTTGACAATCACTAATTATCATATATCAAAGAGAAAATAGTGTGTTAAGTTTTCTATTATGTTTGACTCCTGTTCCTGCAACTTTTGAAATATAAATTACATACCATCCTCACAGAAATTATGATCCCAATCCTCTTTTGCCTGTGAAGTTTCATCCTTCTGATAATAAGGATGTTCTTTTAAAAACCCGTCTTGATTTCCTTTCAGCTTTGACTCCTTAATCATTTTATTTACTTACGTAGGTGGTTAGTCATCTGAAGAACAGATTACAATGTGGAAGGTGTCTGTGATTAGCTTCTAAATTGCCAAGCATTTATCTACCTTTGAAATAATGTCATGAATCTTCCTCTTGTGTGACTGGTAACAGTGGGAACAGGAGCTGCCTCTTTTAATGGCTTTTGGGGCCCTACTCTTCATACTGGGTCACCTTGCCCAGCCTTAATACGTGGGGAGGTTCTTAGTCTTACTGCAACTCCATATGCCATGCTGTGTTGATGGGAGATCTGTCCTTTCCTATACAGAAATGGATGAGGGGAGTGAATTGGGGGGTAGGAACAGAGGGGTGTGTGTGGGGGGAGGGGACTGGGAGGAGAGGGGAAGGGAAATCTGCAGCTGGGATGTAAAATTAAAAAAAAAATAAAACATGAAACCTATTTTGTTGAAACACACCATCTTAAAAATACCCTTTGAACAAGACCTGGTTGTGTACACCTGTTTCCCAGCACTCAAGAGACTGAGAAAGGAGGATCACTGTGAGTGAGTTTGAAGCTAGCCTAGGCTATAAGCGGGACTGTTTTGAAAACATCAGCTATACAACCTCATGAACATGCTTATTCTCTCTCTCTCACTCACGCACATACAAAATTACACACACACACACACACACACACACGCACACACACACACACACACACACACACACACACACACACACGTAGCTGGAAAGTTTCTCTCCCGGTCCTGCCAAGCCCCTGCAGTCCTGCAGCCCACTTATAAAATAATCACTCAGAAGCTTATATTAATTAAAACTGTTTGACCATTAGCTCAGGCCTACCACTGACTAGCTCTTACATTTAAAGTAACCCATGATTCTTATTTATGTTTAGCTATGTGGCATGGTACCTTTTCTCAGTTCTGCCTTCACATCTTGCTTCCTCTGTGTCTGGCTGGTGACTCCTGACTCAGCCTTCCTGTTCCCAGAATTCTCCTCTCTGCTTGTCCCGCCTATACTTCCTGCCTGGCTACTGGCCAATCAGCACTTTATTAACCAATCAGAACAACACATTCATAGCATACAGAAAGATATCCACAGTGTGCTTGCACACACATATACAAAATCGCCTTTGCTCATAAGAAGTTTCAAAGTAATGATGTCATTCTCTGTTATTTTATGTAGTTATTAATAAATTCTTCTCCCTTTGTTGCACATACTCAGACAAGTACTATGCAATTTAATATTTATTTTTCTTTCTTTTAGCTCTTGATTGTGAATATTATAATGAAGGTATGTGACATTTTAATGAATATTACTGCAGCATTCTGTCAGATATATTTTTCAGATAAAACTTTTTGAACCATTTATACTATGAAAAAAACCCAAATAATTCATGAGTTGAAAGACAAAGTTATGAAACCTTTTCTTTCTACAGCTGATCTAATTTTCTGAGGACTGGTGCTAAAATTTATTTTCTAAGAATAAAAGCGTGTGCTGGTGCTAAAATTTAATTTCTAAGAATAAAAGTGTGTAATTTAGGTTGTTTGTACTTAGAGGGTTTTCCAAAAATAGTTTTAGAATGACACAAGAGAATGAAAAGTTAAATTAATTTTAGGTAAAATATAAAAGTGTAGCAAAGACACATCTTGTACCATTTCATATAACTATGAAACCTGTTCAAAAGTTTTGAAATTTCCATAATTTTAAATTAATAATTTTATATATTTGCAGTGAAATGTGGTGTTGTTATTGATAAATGCACAATGGGATGATAAGATGAGACTAATTAGTGTGTCAATCATCTCAACATTTACTGTGTGTTGAGAACATTTAAAATCCTTTCTGCTAGGTATTTAGTATTTAGCCAAAAGTAATAGTAAGACTTTTGTTATTTATGACAACATGAATGAACCTAAAGGATGTCAAGCTCAATAAAATAATCCAGGTAGAATGAAATTCTGTTTGCTTCCATTGCATGGCTTATTTCAAACAGACTCTCAGAAGTAGAGACAAATGGGATGCTCAGCAGAGTCTGGGAAATAGAGGGTTAATGAGTAAAGGACAGATATTGATCAAAGAGTAGAAAGTTTCCATTTGCTAGGGAGAATAAATTCTGCTGATCATTACACAGTATCATGGCTTATCCACAATGTAATTTTATTATATTGTGGGAGACCATGAAACAAAGTAAAGGTGATAATATAAGAAATGCATTTTACCGCTACCGTAAAATTACATATTATCAGCTGAAAACTTAACATAATAACTATCAGAATCCACTAGCCTCAGCCAGCATCCAGGCTTGTAATGATTGGGTGTTTTAACAAATGTGGGAAGAGGTGAATGAGAATATCAGAAAAAAAAAAAAAACCCAAAACCAAACAAACCAACCAACAAACAAAAAAACCAGAAGGCAACAGATTTGGGCTTTGCTTTTTGTCAAACTATTTAATGAGAAAGGTACAGTCATCCAAACCTCGTTCAGCCAAGTGAGGCGGTCTGCAGGGGTGACAGCTTATCAGTGCCTGGGCACACTCTGGACTGATATAGATGGATGAGGGAGTTAGAATGACGGTCATAGGAAACCGGGACCAGCAACCAATCTAAACCAGGGAGATAGCTCACCGTTGAGATTCTATAAAGAAAGCTCAATAGCTTCAAAGACATGGGAGATGATGAAGGGAAAAAAAAAAAAAAAACAACCAAACCAAACCAAACAAAAAAACCCAAAAAGGGGGGGCGGTAAAACGCTTTCGGTTGTTTTGTTACATTTATAGAAATTAAAAGTTGAATAAAAGTCAACATTAACACAATCCCTTTGATAAACAAAAATCTAACCAAAGGTACCTTTTGTCCAAGATTTTTATCAGATGAGCAGAAACGTGTGTGTGCGTGTGCATGCACGTGTGTGCGTGTATACACACACACACACACACACACACACACACACACACACACACACACACACACAGAAGTAGAAAGAGGAGAATAGAAGGCCAGTTAGAGAAAGAGAGAGAGAGACAGCCAAAGGGGAGAATTGGGAGGGGGAGGGAGAGAGAGAGAGAGACTATTAACCTTTTGGGCTTCACAATTAAAAATTTAATTGATTGACTAATTATAGCAACAGTAATAACAGAAGTAGCTTCTGTTAACATTTTATTTAAGAGGAAATTGAGACATGAAGAAATTAAATAACGTTGCCAAAGGCCCTTAACAAAAAATGTGATCATCTGGGACTTGTAAGCTGTATGCCTCCCAAGGCACTGAGCTTGAAGTCTGTGCTACCCAGCCAGGTGTGGTTCTGTGCACAAGGAGGATGACCATGAGTCGCTGCTGTGCCGTTTGCATTCTGTATGCAGAATCAATATAAGAAATACTCCAGTGATATTAATTACTCAATTAAATCTGTGCTCGCCCACAGCCCTGTGCTCGTCTCCCCCTGTGCTTTCTGCTTTCTGGTCTGCTGTCTGCAGATCACTGGAGTCAGGACACTCTGAGTCACTACTGCTTGCGGCTTGGTACTTGTCAGCAATCAGGGCGGTCGGTTTTCTATTGCATTACAGAATTCTCAAACCTTGAGTTCTGTTTATAATGCTGTGCTTGTAGCATCAGAAGGCGAACACAGGGCATCCAGTTCTGAGAAGACACTGGTAGGTTCAATGGAGGGGCAGGCAGGGGATTGATTTTCTATGACTCAGGTAATAGGGAAAAGAGTCAATGTGCCCAGGAGGAAGAGTTTGCTGTGGTGGACATAGGTGACTGAAGAAGGTTGTAGAATTGTAGAGATTGATGTTATATTATATATTATTTCATAGAGTTGTAGAGATTGTTGATGGAAGTCATTGAAAGCCAACAACATTGTTTTAAGTGACTTTTCTCAATTTGTTTAACTCCAAATCATTTCACAGCTCTTATAAACTATCTTGGACATTTATACCTGAACTCTCTCCCTTGTTTATCTACAACATGTCAGAAACTATGTCGTATTATTCAAAGAAAATACAGAAATAATTGTCAGAAGACAAAATTAAAAATAGAATGTAAAGGTTGTACCTGAAATTGTCCAATAACCCTGTGTGTAAGCTCTTCATGGTTCTTGTGTGTTATTTTCTTATAATGCAAAGGGTGTGTTGTCATTGCTGGATGTGGGCAAAGACTTTAGTATCCTGCTCAAAATCATTATGCAATGAAGTTCAGAGTGGTTTTATTGGCTAAGATGTATTTGTGACTGTGTTTAGGATTCAATGTTGGAAATGGCTGATTTTAGTAGACAGTAGGATTGTACATGTCACCTTAGAAACTGATATAAGATCATTAATAATATCTTAATTGCAGTGAAAGTACATGAACATAGTCTGGAAACATGGTGTAAATTCACTGGGAGGCTCTTTAAAAAGCATTAGGCTTGATTTTTAAAATAGATTTGTATTTATTCTTGAGAATTTCCTGCGTGTACATGATGTATTTTGATCATATCCACCATCTCCAACTCCTCCTGGATCCTTCCCCTGTATCCAATTTCCAACTTCACATCCTCTTTTAAAAATATACTTCCTTTCTTCTTTTGTTTTTAAATAACTCACCAAGTACAACACGAATTACTAAATGGTCTTGTAATAAAAAAAACCCGCTACTGGATATTGGTGTAAATGCTGAAAGACCAGAGAGACAAAGGAACAAGTCACTGCCACTAGTCTTATCTCTAGGACTCCTGAGCCTGAAAGGCCTCAGCCGACAGGCCTCTAGCTGAATGAGCTTCCTCAGTCACAAAGCTTCTAGTTCCCTCTTCTTCATGCCTTATCTACCTTTTCCTACCCAACCATTAAAGGTGTGTGTACTTCCTAAGTACTGGGATTAAAGGTGTGTGCCACCACTGCTTTGCTGACTCTTTCCTAGACTGAGTCAATCTCATGTAGTCCAGGGTGGCTTTGAACTCACAGAGATCCAGACAGATCTCTGCCTCCCAAGTGCTAGGATTAAAGGTGTGTGCCACCACTGCCTGGCATCTATGTTTAATCTAGTGGCTTGTTCTGTCCTCTGATCTTCAGGCACATTTTATTAGGGTACACAATATATCACCCCAACCAAGTCTAATCAGTGCTGTCTATACGTGCATAGATGTAAGGCCATCCACCTGAACGTCGTCAACCTACCTGGGGCCACAATCCTAAGGAAGGAAGACTGTCCCTGGTCTAGTAGCTATCAACTGTCAATAACTCCTCTTTTAGGGGTGGGGCCATATAAACATCTTCCCACTCTGCTCAGGGCCAGAATGGTGACTGGCTTGATCTTGTGCAGGTAACTCATGACCTCATATGATTCCGTGAATGCAGTGGTTCCTCCATGTGGAAAAGACACTGTTTCCCCTAATCCTCCTCAACCATTATATTTTTACATGGATGGATGACAAGCATCTATTTATGCTGGTGTAATGAGACGTATGTATATTCAGTGGGAAGGAATATCTGTCTAGCTGTCCATCCTTGAGGATGAACATCCTTGAGGATGCTTCAAGTCCTCAAGGTGCTGTTGTGCATGCATCTTCATTTTGATTTATACATTTATATTTATTTTTAGGCTAGCGTCAAAGTAATGAGTTTCATCAAGGCAAGGCATACAAATGTGTACTGAATTATGTTACACTATGTATTAGTCACATATTTATATAATATATACTTATATAAATCTACATACTTAAAATTAGAGTGTATTTCCCTCTTTGAGGTTTCTATCATTTTTTCTCTTAAGTTCTTTTTAGAAAGTCAGTACAGAATTTGGGTGTAATTTTCTCTGGTTCTCTTGGACTTGGCTTGACACTGTGCATAGTAAACACTAGTTACAGGGACAGAACCTCTTGATACCTGTGTTGTGGAAAAATTCTCACTGCTGCTGCTGAGCTCCACCTTGGCACGGGGACAGTCGTTCCAAACCCGTATCTACTCAGGTCATCCAAGTATTTCACTCATTCCTGGAAGCTCTTCTCTCATAATCTGTGTGTCCCCAGCTGCTCCAGGGTGACCAATTCTAGATGATATCAGTGGAGGGAACAGCACTGAATCCTTCCCTCTCCTGATCTTCACGGGGGAAAATTGGAACCTCAGTTTCCTTCTTGGAAGGCATCTTATTCCTCTATTCTGGTTAACCTCTACTCAACCCTTTCCCCCTCACCTGACTTGAGTCCTTTAAAGGAGAAAAACCTTATTCTTACATTCATTGCATATTCTTTCTTTCTTACTTAGGGTGGGCTGAGAAGGTAAAATTGTGCTTGAGGTAAAAATGAGAAAAGGGGAAAGTGTGACCAAATGTGACATGATTAATCTCTTAGGACATGATCCACCACACCCATTGTAACACCGAATATAATCCACAAGGCAAAAATATACACACACCTGTACAAAGTATATAGTCAGTCATGATGTAATAATATATTATGATTCATAAGAAATGTTGAGGTTTTATTATACTCAGTTATATTAAGGACACTAGTTGAACAGAAATTGGGTTATATAAAATAGTAATTTAAATATATCAATGGACATATTTATCATTATATACTTATTTTTCTAAGCTGAGGTTTGCAAAAAGATTACTCTGAGGAGTTTTATGTCTGGGTCTAGGCATCTTGTTTCCTCTTTATTTTAGACTCACCTTACTGGTGATAATTTAAAATTTCTCAAACAAGAAAATATTAGATATTGTGTCTTTGAATTCTTTTTTTCATGCAATGCAATTGGAAGAGTGTCATAGCATGACACTATTAGCACAGACAAATGTCTTTAAGATTTTATTTATAATAACCATTTAGTGTGTGCGTGTATATGTGTATGTGTGTGTGTTCCTGCATGTGTGTGTATGTGTGTGTGCACGCCTGTGTGTGCAAGCACATGTGTATGCACATGCTGTATGTCACCATAGTATGAATGCAGAACTCAGAAGACAGCCTTCATAAGTTGGGTTCTCTCTCTTCCACCATGGATTCTAGGGGTCAAACCTAGGCTACCAGGCTGGTGTAGAAACCATTTTATCTGCTGAGCCATCTCAGAGGCTCTGATACAGATAAACTTCATGTGTTTATTAAGGATATCAATATCCTTGGACTTTAAACTGGAAGGAAACCCAGACAAATTTCTTATTGGAGGAGAGAAAATTCCAAGACTAAATGATTAAGTCACTTTCCACCTAGTTTTGTTTTCTATGTATAAAAAAATTTGATGCATGCACCCATGTACATATTTACATACATAAATATATATGAACATTTGTATTTCTATAGTTTAAATTATATATTTTAAATAGGCATACTATATACCAAGTTGTTTTTATTTTTAAAATAATTGTTAATTTATCAGTGAATAATTTTTAATTGCAGAATATTTATGGAGTATCTTTATCTTTAAAAATGTAAAGTTCCATGCTAATCTATCATTACCTTACCTGTAACTTCACCAGGACTTGGCGAAGGACCATATATGTTGGCAAGCTATGGGCAGAGTGGCCTTGTTCTGGGTGCCAATGTGACCAGTAGAAGCATTTTCTCTTTGCCAAGAAGTAGTGATCGTGGTAATTTATTTTTTATTTTTATGATCACTCCGGGCCTTTTCAAAGAGAAGACATCCTGTAAGTATAATTGACAATGTAAATTTAGTTTTTCACGGACACTTTTTCATGAACCATTCCCCAAGTATTAATTGGAGATTTCACGTGCTCTGACATTTTATAAATTCCCCAAAGAATATAAAACAAAATCTTAGCATATAAAATGGATGTTTTATAGATAAAATAATTTGTGTATCTATTGGTATTGCTGTGTTAGAACTGTGGATGTTTGAGGATTTTTTTTTTTTTAAGTAACTCACTGGTTAAATGTTTACAGCATAGCATTAACCACAGAACTTACTTGGAAAAAATTTAAAAGATAGTCAGTTCATTCCTCACACTGAAAGGACTTTAATACCAGGTTACAGTGAAAGGGAGGGATCAGATGAGCTGAGTATGAGTTATACATATCAGAGTGTAGACAATCACCGAGACAGCGTTTGTGTCTTAGTACACCACTTCTGTCCTGGTCTCAGGTGTTGAAACTGCCTTCATTCATTGGCTGTACCAGCAGCCTGTGTCCTAGGCTTGGATTTCCCTGGCACCTATTCTTACAGGTGGGTGTGCCCCCTTCTGGCCAGTGATGCCAGCCTACATTTTCGTTGTAGTCTACCCAGAACCATGCACAGCTTCTTCAACAAGCTCAAGGAAAACAATTGTGAAATGAATGAATCTGATAAAATATGCACTTTTCTGAGAAAACTTTCCCAATCCTCCAGTTTGAATAAATATCTTCTTTCTTGTGAAATGAACTCTGTGTTCTGCAAGCATCTATCAGCCTGAAGTTTTCATTTATGTTAGTTGCAACTGTTTTCCTTTGTAAAAAAAAAAAAATGTTTTATTTTATTTTGCATCTTTGTTGTCTCCGTCATGATATTTGAAAGTTTTAAGGACAAAAATACATTTTTGTATTTGGTACATTTGGTAACATGGCATTTCATAGATTTCTTGATTTTATAATTTATAGTGACTACTGTTCTTGAAAGATACAGATAATGTTTTTTTTTAAATTAACTCAGTATCTTAATAAAAAGTGCTTATAGCAGGAGTCTTACATATATAAGGGACAATTTCAAAGCAAATTGATGATTTACAATCATACTATCCGCTTTGGAAATCCTGATTAATCATTAGCCATTTTGTCATCTTTTGAGAAATAGAAGATACTATTGCATAAATAGCATTTTCTCAATGGTAGCAAAAATTCCTTATGAGAATCATTTTTGTCCTTAAGATCTCATTGATATGGAAGTACAGTTGGTTACAAAGTTAAATTAGTGTATGTTTTTGTTTCCTCACTCTTTTTCATTACACAGTTTAGTGGTTTGTAGGTTTTATATGTGAAAATATTACAGCCTATAAGTATAGATAGCTATTATTTTTGCATATTCCTCCCAATGGCATAATAGATAAATTAAAACCTAGAACCTGTCAGAGATTGGTTTGGGGAAGTATTCACTGCATTTCAAACATTGCCTTTTCTCCTTAAAAATCTCATAATTCGTGTCTTATGTGCCTGAGATGGGCATTCATTTTGTGTGGTGGTGTGTTGAATATTTTCAACCTTATAAATGCACATTGTGATGCCTGTGCATGTGCTCTACCTTTCCCTGAGACTCTAAGTCATCAAGACACTCTGTTTTACAGCATTGGCTCTTGTTTCCCTGGAATCTGCTGAAAGGCCAAATTACTTTCTCTACGTCCACGACAATGACACTCTTGGCTTGTCACTGTGGCAGGCAAATCCAGCATTTCGTCAGAGAGCAACATTTTTCCACCATCAAGGGCTTTGGATCCCTGGTTATAGTGCATTTGAATTATACAGCAAGAAAGGCTTCTTCATCGTTTTCATGGATTCTAGTGTCAAAGCATCGAAATATGATGATTCGGAAGAATTCAAGCAGTCAAGCAGCTTCAGCATAGAAGGTGTGCTTCCTGAGAGCTCCAAAGAGAGAGTACAGATGCTTATGCTATGCAGACTTTGTCAGATGCTCACGTTGAGTATCTGAGTAGACTTATGTGAAGCTAGCCTTTCTGCCTCTCAAGCTACTCAGCTAAACAGGAGACATAATGCTGATTTTTATCTACAATAGTAAATGCATGGGTATAAATGGCTTAGAATAACTTAAAATAACTTTAAAACTGTTTCTCCAAATATTATTAATAGTACTTATGGGGCTTTTGCATCAAAATACACTCACATCTCATGAAATGGTCTAGTGTTTGGATCTACTTTTTTTTTCATATAAAACAGCTTCCTATATAATCTAATTCTTAGACTTGAAGACAGCACATTTATCTCTGTCTTCTGAATCCAAGAGTGTCTCGATTCATTGACCTCTGTAAAGTTGTTTCCTTAGTTTTGCAGAAGCCTGATCTGATTTCTAAGAAAGTTCCTTTGCAGTCTACAGCTGAGGAGACCTGTGTGTCAGAGAGCAATCTTCTCTTTGTACAGCTGAAGTCATGCTCTATTTTCAAAACCTAGTAGCTTGATTTCCATCTGAAGTCTCCAAACCCTGCTCCATTTTAAACAATCCTCTGAAGGAGTTCAATATTGCTAATCATTTGCCTTTTCTACTGTGAATGATTTTCTGAAAAGTTCTTTAATGGGTGGATTTCAGAAAACCCGAATTGATCTTGAAAAGCATTGCTTAGCATAAATCCCCGAGTTCAAAGGTTCTGAGTATGGCGGGAGGTTTTGTTAAAAGCAGCTGCGAATGTTCTTATTCTAGCAAGGAACTCAAAGCATGGCTACAGGAAGCCCAATGTTTTCAGCACTTGTTTTCTTAGATCTAGTCCAACGAGACAGAAGGGGTCAGGACAAGCAACATTATCATTTTCCTAGAGGTGGTAAAAATCCACTGAAGCTTAGCATTCACCTTAAGCTAATGTCCTGACCCCCATCTCCCATGCTCAGGAGAGCAGCTCAGGGCAGGTGATGTCTTGTCTCTACATACTCCAGAGGCACTTCAGCAGCAGGAGTAGCAGAGCATGGCAGTCTTTTGGACTCCGGGTACCATTGACATCCCTAAGCACAGACTTTTCAGGACACAATGGCTTAGCAAGACAGGCCTGGGTTAGTCTCAAAAGTTCCCCTCTATATGTGCATAGCACATCCCCATAACATTCTATAGTTACTGTAAGAAGCACAAGCGGGACTCTAAATGTTGGGGATAGCCAAGGCCATCTGGGGACATTTCCTTCCCCTCTTGGTTCTTGAGAGAAAGTACTGACATGCCTGCATAATGTTCTTGTAGAGCGGTGTGATTATTTTACTTGACTGTATATAAAGCTGAACTCAATAGGCCTCTATTTCCCCTCTAATCCAGAAGTCTGCTCCCCAAGAGCCAGATCTAGGAACCTCACTCAAGGTCCAGCAAAGGACAGTCAATGACATCATCTGAGACATTGACTACTGTAATGGTTTCATTCACTGAGAAACTCTACTGGTCTCCTCTGGCCTAAAGCCAGTCCTCTTTCTGGACCCATGAACTAGGAACTCTAGCTTAGCTCTGTATACACAAAGAATCCTTCTGAAACAGCCTATTTTCTTACCACACTTTAGAATTAAAGTCTTCATGGATGCAGATTCAGGATGCAGATTGAAATGATCTCTTATGTAGAGAAATTTTTGAGCTGTGCCAGAAGGACTTCTCCGTGATGTGGGAAAGAGAATATAGTGCCAGAGTTTGTAGGAGAAAAGTCTTTAACCACATGACCTAGAACTGCAGAATTTATCTTTCAATCACACTGATTTGCTCTTTTGTATTCAAGCAATACTTACTAGATATGCAACAATGTGCCGAGTTCTGTGGGAAGGACAGTGTTCAAACATGCTCTCAAGAGTTTTGGTCTTGATATATGCATTTGGTCTTACCATTTTCCTTATTGTTTGAGTCTGGGAAGGTGCTAGGATATTATAATGAAGACATGTTTCATTTTAGATTGCAAGTAATATTCCTCAGCAGAGTTGTGCAAGGATAAAATAGATTTAAAATTATGTTGTAAAAAGTAAAGTTCTCAATTACTAAGATCAGAAAATCACTGAAAATATAACTAAACATAAGAGAAAGGAGAACATTAAACTCTTTGGAGGCTAGATCTTCATTTAGCCATTCAACCCAAGCGCCAGATCTTCTGGTCACCAGGGAATTATAATGCTTCAATCAGACAGCTTTATCTTTTACAGAACACTAGGATGAGAGAGGGGTCAAACATCATACAGGTTCCTATTGTAAGTTATTAGATTTCAAAATGTGTGTTTCAATGCACATAATCTCGGCTTCCTCTTATTTTCTCAGAAATCCAGGCAGTGGTGCCTTACAGGAGGATGTGTGAGTGGAGATATCAACCTTGCGCTACTCCTTGTTTTAAAACATGCAGTGACCCCGAAGCCCTAGCCTGTGCGTTCCTTCCACCGTAAGTGACATTGGTGCATAAACCTGCAAATTCTAGTGTCTACAGGTTCTGTCCTGGGTGATCTTTGTGTTCTGTTGAAATGCATCCATTGTTAAGGAAAATTTGCTTGTTCTATCTGCTAACCTATGGGATGATTGGATTTTAACTTTAGCTAGGTGTTGAAGATCTATTATGTGTAAGTAATTCTGCTTGCTCCTAGGTAAGATTTTGAAGAGGACAAGAGCTTGACCTCATGTGGTCTACGCATGAGTAGAAGCAGAGAATAACCAAAAGTGTACCTATAGGATGGGTTGTGTGACTGTGTTGTTAGATAGTGCTGTGTGTTATAGAGAAAATAAGGGAAGGGAGTGGGCTTTAATTGATAGTGATGGAAGAAGACACCCAGAAGTTGTGATCTTTGCAGAGATCTGAAGGAAGCCGGGAAACTGGCTCTGTGGGTATCCGCGGAAGAGACTTTTGATCTGTGAGAGATGCATGGATCCTGTGGTGGGAACAGGTTTGGTGTCCTTGAAGGTCGGCAAAGTTGTGTGGGTAAAGTGAAAAGTGAACAGACGTAAAAGAAGCAGGAGCCACGGCTAGAGAACCACTGTGGCAAGCAAGCTTATCTTAAGGACTTGGTTGTTTACAGTGAAACTGGTAACCCAGGCATATTTTACACAAAGACGTGACAAAATCTGCTTGTGCTTCAACTACATGCTCCTTGGATGTTGAACTGAAATGGACTGTTGTGGGTGGAACAAGCAAGGGCAGAATTTGCCAGTTAAGAGTTTGCTTAGAAGGGATTTGGCTGGGCTGGCATCCTCAGAGGTCATGTAATCAGATTCTGGAGGTGTTTCAAACTTAGACTGTGCTGATAGAATCAGTATGAGTGACAGGTGGAAGAGGAGCTGAGCGCCCCAGCATGACCCCAGCTTGACTGAAGCTGGATGAATTTGCCTCTTTCACAGTCTTCTTGCAAAGTGTAGTTCTTACCCCAAAGGGCTAAAAGATACTTTATTCTTTATCCAAGTCCAAGCACCCAAGGCTTCAGAACATAGATTCCAGTTGCCTCAAATACCATGGTCCAATGTGGAAAGGGTTCCATGATGATTTTATACAAAAGAACAAAAGAAAGACATAAATCAAGGCATTTTTTTTTTCAAATACACTAAAGGGTACATGGGATAGGCAGATTATAGGAAAGTGGGAATATTTGCTATGGGCTTGGGATGCTGTCTGATGAAATTCTGAGCTTTTGGGTCAGTAGAAACTAATAAGTATTGGTGAAATTATTAAGGCCACTCCACGTAGTTTAAAGGGAGGTTTATTTTGTGGGGTAACTTACAAGTGAAGGGATAGGGTACAGGGTTTGGGAGAGGTGTAGCGCAGTCCTGTGGTGTTCTCTGGAGAACTCTGCTCCATCTACCTTGAGCATCCCGGGACCAGGAACCAAGAGAGCTGGCGCATCTGGATCTTGGGTCTTCAGGGTCGTCCTCTCTTGGCCCCGCGTTGTAGGCATGACAGTTACCAAAGCCTTAATGGGGGTTGGAACTTCCAGATCAAAGCTGGAATGGCTACCCACTACAAATATGATCTGTTAAGTTAGGACCTTCCCAAAGATTTGACTTGATAGTGGTAAGGAGGTGAGGTCAGACACACAGGTGAGCAGTAGATGGCTGTTAAGGGGAAGCTAAAGATAGTTCAAGAGAACCTGGCTCCGGACCTGCAAACTTCCAGCCCTCCTCCATCAAACAGTCCTAACCTGCCATCCACCACTAGACTGAAAATTCTTCATAGGGTTTAGTACCTTGTACATGAGGAAGAGGCAAAATGGAGGCAGGAAGTGTCGCTGCTTTCATAAACAGGGATTTTGCTCTGAAGGAGAAAGGGGACATGGGCCCATAGTGGGAGGGAATATTTTGAGGTCATTTTATATTAAAGATCTATGAGTTTCTTCTCAGAATTATTATTGCTATCTTGGTATTATGAAATGCCCCAGGCATGTGACTAAGTGATACCTAGGCTGTCTTAGGAATTCTCAGTCTTCCCAAAGGAAACAGACTCATAAGCAGGGGCAACAGTGTGGCAAGAGCTAGAGAAGCGACCAAAATCACCAACACATTCAGGTGGCATTCCTCAGGGCTGTGGAATGGCTAATCTCATTATACCTCCCCCTTCTCCCCCTGCTTTTTATAGAACAGACTAGCTGAGGCCCAGAGAAGTCATTGGCTCTCCCTAAGCCACACAGTTTGAAGAGAGAGGGTCTGATTCACTGTGCCCTGTTTACCAAGTACAGTGAGAATAGAGGAATGAAAGGGAATTCTGATTGTTATCTTTAAATGGAAGTGTGTGTGTGTGTGTGTGTGTGTGTGTGTGTGTGTGTGTGTGTGTGAGAGAGAGAGAGAGAGAGAGAGAGAGAGAGAGAGAGAGAGAGAGAGAGAGAGAGAGGGAGAGGGAGAGAGAAGAAAGAAGTCTACCTTTTGGACCTCTCACAGTCACAGATGCGTCTCATCATGCACCTTCTGGCAGTTATAAGGAGGCATGGAAGCTGCATGACCACATAGTCACGATGACCCCTGGAGAGGAAGTGAGCTGATGACACATGTGGCTGTCACCAGGAGAAAAGCCAGCTGTAACAGGAAGTGACATTTAGGTGCCCTTATTACCTTTGTAGCACAGCCAGTGACTGAGGTGACTGAAGCCAGCTTCCCAGTGCCTTCAGTGTATTGTCTTGAAGGTCTCCCCTTAATGGGGAGAGTTGATGGGTGACTAGAAGATGCAGGAGGAAATTTCTACCTGCCAAACTCTCTCTCATTTCTGCGTGTCCCTTCCTGTCTTGTCCTCTATTCTGGAGTGTCTATGCCGATTCTTGAGTGTGCCTGTGACCCAGGGGCACCCATGCACTAAGCTGGGTTTTAACATACCCCTACACCCCTCTTTCAAATGCCCAAAGGAACGATCGGTCATTCTTGTTTCAGATTCTTTGAGTGTCTGGCACCAAGCAACGGTTAAAAACAAAAGTGGTCCGTGAAAGTGAAAGCTGTTTGTGAGAAAATAATGTCAAGCAGCGTGTTGTGGAGCCCATATGTAAATTCTTCTTCTTATGTTCCTTTTATAGTAATTCTTTCACACCAAGGCATTCTATCTCTCAGGTGGAAGCTGGCCATAGTATTAACTGTACGTCAAAGCAAAGAGAAGCCTGATAAGCGTGACTATGAAGTTAGTCATAAGGGATAAAACAATGGCTTTTGGAAAACTGTTTAAGAGGATGGGTATGAATTTTGTCCTTTAAAAAACAATTGGAAAACAATTGAGTTAAATAAAAAAGTAAGGATGACTTCATTTAGCATTGATCCACTGGCTTTAGCTTGTCAATTATCCTGTAACTTTCCTTTCCTTCCTGCTGCCTGATGAAGTTTCAAATAGGATTATATTATCAGTTAAAGTTTTATTATTCAAGTCCATTGGATGAAGCAAGCAGTTGATCATATATGAACTGTTTGTGTTTTAAAAGAATCATTGGCAAATGTGGTGTCTGAGATATTAACTGTCCCTACTTAAGCCTGTTCAGTAGGAGAAAGAGTTTGCCTCACAAACACTGCCCTCTGCTGCTGCTGACCTTTCATCATGTCAAGTTAGTTCATTTTCATCCTGCAAAGAAAAACTGCACATCTTTGTCCAACTATTAACACATGAAGCAACCGGAAGTGTTTTGAAAATATTAAAAATATTATTACAGTCTGCTAGTGCATTTGAGAGGCAGATAATCAGGCCTTTTCGTGCGAGAATTTGCATTAATTCTCTGTGGCATGTGTGAATCTCATAATTAGACTTGGCTGTATGGGGCAGTTTACAGTTTCTTTCACTAAGGAAACATTGAACACTGAGTGTCAACTGAATGGCAGGAAGATATGATCTCAGCCAGACTTTGGTCTTATTCCTGAGGGAGAACAGTGGCCTACATGCTGTCTTTAGGTTTGTGCCCACAGTCCCTAAGCCCACAGCATCTTGAAAGTTTTGAGACTGTCACTTTACTTCTGTGATTGATGCAAGTAATGGGATTCCCTACTCAAGCCACATATCGTGGGTCTTGGAACTGTTACTTCTCCAGCTCATAATTACATACACTCCCACTCATATCCCTGAATGAGTTTGGGTACAAACGCTAATGCTCCCGAGAACTTCTACCTCCGCTGTTATTTCTCCCTGTCTGTATGAAAAGACGCTTAGCTAAATACCACTCTGTCTCTTCTGTGTGAGATCTCAAGTCTCTTTTCAGGGAGCTTAGGACTGAACAATAGGCAGCAAAAGCCACTATGTTTTGTCCTGCACACCTCTTCAGGGAGATAAGAGTCAAACGTTGTAACAGTCTGCTCAGACCTTTGGAATAGAGAAGTGAGACTAGAAGCTGGAAGATGGCTCCATGGTTAGGTGGCTTGTGGTGTTTAGATACGACCTGAGTTAGTTTTCCAGTGTTCTCTGTGGGCATCTCACAACTGCCTGTAACTCTTTCTCCAGGGTATGTGATACCCTCTTCAGGCCTCCGTGAGCATCTGCACTCACATCACACACACACACACACACACACACACACACACACACACACACACACACTTAAAAAAATCCTCACCAGATAGATCATTCTTCTACATTTCTACCCATTACTAGAACATGAATTTAGTGTACCTCAAATATAAGTGTATACTTTGAATACTCTGTGTTCAAATTCTGCCTCCGTCACCTTCACTATAATGATTTCTTGTATGAGCTCCTGGTTTGCGGCTTCATCAGTTTCATAAGTAGGATGCAGTAGTGGCCAATAGAGTTCTCCCAAGTGTCTGATGATGAAGATTTTCAGCATAATAAACCTCAGGTACAAATATTTAATGTAGGTTTTTCTATGTACATTTTATTTCATTTGTTTTTCCATTTAAAGGGTTGAAGGATGCTTGCCCTACTGCCCCAAGCATATGATCCTGGATGAGGTGACCTTTAAATGTGTTTATCCAGAGGACTGTAAGTGTGGACCTTGTTGAATTTTACTGTTAAAAATGAAATGCATGGATAATTTTCCCCTAAGGCAATTGGTTGCAATCAGAAGTTTGAGAAAGATAATAACTTAGTTCAATCTCCCTTCCTTTTTTTTTTTTTTTTTTAAAAAAAAAAAGCTTCCCAATTGTTCTCTAAAGCATGTGTATCTTGCTTCCCATCTCTCTTTCTTGTGATTTCTTTCCTTAAATAGTTCCCTTGAAAGCAAAGAACTGGACGTAAATTAGGCAGGTCACCTTTTACGTAAATACAGATTAAGTCAGGGCATCTCTGTTTCTTTGCAGGTATACCACTGATTCCCACAGAACCAGCATTAATACCAGGTAAGGTGTTATACCCAGGTATTTGCTGCAATTTTAAACAGTAAAATCAGCATTCAGCAGTATAAGCCTTGGTCCATTCATCCCAGCTGCTACTACATGGACCATCAAATTAACAAAAATCCCAGAGGTGACTTTTGTTTTATTGAGGGGCTGTGTGTGGATTTTACAATTGGTCCACCTCTTTCACCATTTCAGTTAGTATAGACCACTAAGGCTTCTTTCAAATTCATGGTAATGGAGTTGGCTTTCAAAAGATGTATATAATCCAGGTGTCATCAGGAACCTTCCTTGATATTTTGGATTCTGCTCAGGCTTTTGAGGAAGCATTTAAGGCTTCTACTGTAGCTTGAGTTTTCCTGCCTGGCCCACAGTCAGGACAAATCTCTCTCACCTGCCAGTCCCACAGCCACTCAGACCCAACCAAGTAAACACAGAGACTTGTATTGGTTACAAACTGTATGGCCGTGGCAGGCTTCTTGCTAACTGTTCTTACAGCTTAAATTAATCCATTTCTATAAATCTATGCCTTGCCACATGGCTCGTGGCTTACCGGCACCTTCACATGCTGTTTCTCATCATGGCGGCTGGCAGTGTCTCTCTGACTCAGCCTTCCACTTCCCAGCTTTATTCTCTTCCTTGTCCCGCCTACACTTCCTGCCTAGCCAATGGCCAATCAGTGTTTTATTTATTAACTAATTAGCAACACATTTGCCATACAGAACATTCCACAGCACTTCCCCCCCTTTTTTTTTTCCAAAAGGAAGGTTTTAACCTTAACAAAGTAAAATTACATACAATTTGGGAATTTGGGCATAGCTTCTCTTACTACTTCCTGCTGGAGGGGGGCGCTGTATCTTATGGGGAAACAAAGAAAATTTTAGGATTATGGAATAGTCCATGAGGCTGTATCGTCTGAGCCAGATGCCTTCAAACCGTTCTGGATGTTGGATCATCTGGGCCATGGTGTCATCGGAGACCTTTCAGGGGGTCTTGGCTGGTCAAACCTGATGTGTCTTAATCTGGAACAAATCCATAGCCTCTGGCTTTCTGTGGAAACAAAAGCAGAGTCTCCTTTCCAAAGTAACATATCCTTATATCCAAATTTTGAAGTCAAGGTACCTTTAAAATATACATTTTGGCATAACTCAACAGCTTTTACAATCAAATGTTTTTCTGCAGTTAAAAGTCCCAAAGACAACACAATCCAGATTCTCTGTGTAATATCCATTTTTACGTGGCTTATTTTTTATACTACCTTTACTGTCTCTTTAAAGACTTTATTTTTTAAAACTATGTATTTGTTTCTATAACTCTATATATCATCTTTTTTGTCTCTTTCAAGCCTACGTATCTTTTACACACATTGTAAACTATTACATCTGAATCTGTCTTATTGTGAATCTATTGCCTTAAACTGCAGCAGCTGTGGCTGCTGGATCCACCCACCTCAGCTTCCCAACATGGCGGTGGTTTACCACCAGCTCTGGGAGCTATCGGGGGTCTATGCTTTTAGCCAAGCAGCATGTAGTCCAGAAACCTCTTTTTTTTGTTTTGTACTAGCGAAGGCTAAATTCACCATGCAGCTTAATGTGCCACTTGCAGAGGCCTCATTCCCGCCATACTGCAGGTCCAGCGTATAAGCTAGGAACCCACCAGTAGCTCAAACCAGCAGCTGCTGCTCATTTGAGAGAGACAATTAGGAAGCTGTTTTTAGCTCCGTTTTAGAATCTTTTTTCTGTTTTTAGGTAGAAACTCTTGCCACCACGTTGGACGCCATTTGTAGCTTGAGTTTTCCTGCCTGGCCCACAGTCAGGACAAATCTCTCTCACCTGCCAGTCCCACAGCCACTCAGACCCAACCAAGTAAACACAGAGACTTGTATTGGTTACAAACTGTATGGCCGTGGCAGGCTTCTTGCTAACTGTTCTTACAGCTTAAATTAATCCATTTCTATAAATCTATGCCTTGCCACATGGCTCGTGGCTTACCGGCACCTTCACATGCTGTTTCTCATCATGGCGGCTGGCAGTGTCTCTCTGACTCAGCCTTCCACTTCCCAGCTTTATTCTCTTCCTTGTCCCGCCTACACTTCCTGCCTAGCCAATGGCCAATCAGTGTTTTATTTATTAACTAATTAGCAACACATTTGCCATACAGAACATTCCACAGCATTCTACAGTCATATACCTCCCTCACTCTGAAACTTCTTCCATTAAATGATTTCATAAATCTGCTATTAGAGTCTTACCAAGCTTAATATACGCCTTCTGGGGTTGTGATTTACAAAAGTTTAGTTTCTGATACTTATATTTGGTTAGCCTCAGTTGAATAATGTGTCTGGTTCTCTCTGGGCCCTTGGTTAGGGTGGGGATGTTCAACACGTCATAGCCTCTATCTTAATATTAACAATTGTTGTCAAAGTATTGTAAAACAAATAGCACTCCGTGTGTACAGTTTCCAAGTATGGATCAAAAGTATCTGGAAAAATATTCCTGTGGGTTAATGACATATAAAATGTTCCTCTTATCATCCCCTAAAATATAAGCTCAATTATTGTTTATATAGCTTTTGCATTATACTAGGCATAAGTCATTTAAGAGATAAAATGAGTTAAGTATACAGGAAGACACATAAGTTGTACGCAAATACCATACTATCTGATATTAGGGAGTTGACCTTCCACAGGTTATGGTATTTGTGGTGAGTCTTGCATTGATTCCTCAATCAATGAATACTGAAGGATGACTATATTACAATGTGGACACATAGGAACAACTTACAGAAGGCCATAGTTCTTATTTTTGAGGTAAAACCTCGAAAAATTATCAGTGGAGTTATCAGGTGATAGACAGGAAAGTGAGTGTGGTAGAATAAGTAAAACTGTGTTCTAGCTTGAAGCCCAATATGCGTGAAGGTTTGGAAGTAAGAGGGAACATGTAGCATGCAAGCAAATGTATTTTGAATATTCAGAATTGAGTCAAGAGATTGGATGAAAGAGATGATCTGTGGTAAAAGGTCCACGCCAAAAAGAATTGGGTTTTATTTTCTGAAGGCAATCACTAAAGGGTTTTAATTAGTCTGTGATGTTTCCCAAATAAGAGCCTTATTACCATAATCACCACTGTCACCATTCTTAAGAGCTAACATTTATTACATGCTAATCATGTGCCAGTCACTGGGCCAAGTGCTTGGCATACACTTAATGCTTGTGGAGATGAGAAATGGGTCTATCATTGTAAACATTTATGTTGGGAAGGGCCAGAGATCCTTTTCCTACTTCACTGATTCTATGAATGAATAAGTCTATGAAATAAGACTGAATATTCTATCATTAAGGACATAGACTGTTAATTCTACATACTGGTGTTTGCTTTGATCTCACAAATCAATATTCAACATGTATCTCCACTGTTTAAATTATTTGGCCATAACAATTCATATGTAGTGCATATGTATTGTACTTTATAAACTTCAACAGAAAGATAATTTCTAGTTGCATATAGCATGTATATGTACATATATATTTATTTTCCTAAGGTGTCCATTAAGTAATAAATGAGCTCACCAAGCTTAAAGAATGTAAGATTAATATAAAAATCAATTGTCTTTCACTACACAAGCAACTCAACATCTGAAAAGGAACAAAGAAAATAACTTCACTCACAGTGGCATAAAAAATAATAAAATATACTGGGAGTGGTGGTGCATGAATTTAATTCTAGCACTAGGGAGCTGGAGGAAGGGAGATCTCTGTAAGTCCAAGGCCAGACTGGTCTACATAGTGAGTTCCAGGCCAGCCAGGGCTGCATAGTGAGATCCCCTCTAAAACAACATTCATGAATGACATAAAATACTTGAGAATATATTTAGTAAAATAGCCACGGGCTGAAATATGGTTACAATGGAATCTGCAAAAACATTATTGAAGGAATTAGGTAGAACAAAATACAAAAGAAGAATTTCTGCATTCCTAGATTAGAAGAGTTTATATTGTTGAGGCAGCAACACTTGACATTTGGCTCTGCAGAAATTAACAAAGTGATCCTGAAGCATTTGAAAATACAAATATTCTTGAATAGCCAAGATGATCTTCAAAAAGACTCAGAGAATGTGGAGACCCACATTTCTCAATTTTAAATGTCCTGCGGTTGTCACAAGATCTCACCCAGCACAATTCTACAGTCAGACACTGCTGGTGACCCTGTGATAATTGCAACATCATTATAACAACACTGGCCCTGTAGCAATGTGTCTTTGCTTTGAAGAACATACAACCACCCAGTCACTAGACTCCTTCCCGATTTTGTGCTGTGACTGGACAAGACATTTATATCATTTTACTTGGGAAATGACATGTGAGTCTTTATTAAACCCCATTCTCTCCATGAGTCAACATCTAGACGTATGATAACATGAATAGTGTTCAAGTGTTCATATGATCAATGAGTGGGTTCTTAAAATACATTTTAACTGTTCTTCAAGTTAGAAACTATAAAATAGAACATGTATAAGGGTTACCTGCAGAATTAACTAAATTTTATAAAAGTTATTCTGTAGATTGTGGTAGACTGAAAACAGCTCTTCAAAAATGTATACGTCTTTGTCTCCTATTGGTCTTCATGTGACATTTCATGGCAAATGGACTTTGCTGATGTGAAGTTGTTGACTTATTTGTGACTAGACTATGATCTGGGAGTCTTGACCTTAATTATCCACATGTGTCTAATATAGTCACAGTGTCCTTACAAGCATAAGAGGCAAAGGTTCAGGGATGCGATGAAGAAAATGATGTGACAGCAGAAACAGGAGAGCAGGGGGTGGGGAGAGAGAAAGAGACAGACACAGAGACACAGAGAGATTGAGACAGAGAGTGACAGAGAGAGACAGAGAGAGACAAAGACAGAGACACAGAGAGATAGAGACAGAGAGAGAGAAGAGAGAAGAGAGAATGAGATTATTAAAGAAGGGAACATGAACCAAGGACTCAGGCAATCTGGAAGGGCGAAGGAAACACTTCCTTCTCGAGGGCTAACAGAAGAAGGCTGTACCAATGCATTGATTTTAAGAATCTGATTTCCAGAGCTGCAATATAATAAATTGGTAATATCTTAAGCTACTAAAATTTGTGATAATTTGTAATAGCAATGGAAAACTATTGTAGTGTTTTTAAATTCTGTAAACAATAAATTGTGATTCCCACTAGGGAAGATTCTAGCCACTTACCTTGGTTGTTCTGTAGTTCTTCAGATGGAGTATTCTAGACTTGATGTTTGTCCTGACAGAGAACATTAGAAAGTATGTTATAAATAAGCCTATTAATGATGTCTTTCCTTCCTGTGTGTTGGCCCTCTATTACACCTATACTGTGTTGCCACATGGTCCAAAGCATCATCTATTCTGCCTAAAAGGAGACCAGGCTGGAGCCTGACAAGGGAAAGGGACTAGATTCACAATTTAATGTTGAAACTCAATGGAGTTTGTAACTCCTGATGGACATTTGGTGATTCCCTTGATATTTCTATCTGTTCAGATAATTGGACAACATCATCTGATCAATGAGGCTATTTATAGAAACATCACTAGATGCTAGTGTTCTAGAATTAGAAATTCTGAGTTAGAATCTGCCCATAATATTCACCAGATTTGTCAATGGCTTCGTTTCTATATCTGTAAAATTACAAAGATATTTTTATTTTATCCACTTTACTTGATACTTGGGAGGAATGGATGAAATAATCTATGTAAAATTTCTTAGCATTTTTTAAAATCGCATGTAGCATCCTTTCATGGTAGCTCCCTTCTCACTAACAGGGATATGTTTTTATTTCTTGTAAATGCAGACATGGCTACTCCATCAGACGTGACTCCAACCACAGGTTTCGAATGTGAGGTATGACTGTGTGTTTCTTTCAGCTGTTCATTGTTTCTTACAGCATTTACACTACTCTGTGTATCACTATACACTCACAAACTTCCTTTGGTACAGTGTCTAGTTATTTGCTAAAAGAGAAGCATATTATGCATTTTGTTTTTGTGACTGTGCTTTCATATTGTGTGTGTGTGTGTGTGTGTGTGTGTGTGTGTGTGTGTGTCTGTGTGTGTGTGCGCGCACAAATATGTGTATGTCATGTAAAAGCCAGAGGACAACTTTGGGTGTTGGTCCTCAGGATTCCTCCACCTTGTCTTTTGACAAAGAGTCTCTCAATGGCCTGGCTCTTGTTGAGTGGGATGGCCTGGTTGGACAGTGAGCCCAGAAATCTACTGTCACTGGGATTACAAGTGTGCTTCTTCTCCATGCTAGGCTTTTAAGCAAGCATTTTAGGGCCTGAACCCAGGTTTTACACTTGAAATGAAAGCATTTTAGTGATTGGGGCATCTCTATAGTCCACAATTGTGTTTTCTTAACTAACTCAGATAATTCTTACTAATTTCTGGCTGCAATAAGAAAAACAAAGTAATAGTTAAGTAATAGTTAAGTAATAGTAAGACCTTAAGAATGTTTCCTTTATAATTTATAATTTATCTTTTCTAGTTTGATTTTTTTTTGTTTGTTTTATCTTTTATTTTATTATTATTTTTGGATGCCTATTTGTTTCCTGAGGAGGGAGAGAAACAAAGAGTGTGGATTTGGGTTGGTAGGTAAGTGGGGAGAATCTCAGAGGAGTTGAGGTAGGAGAAAGCATAAATCAGAATATACTGCATGAAAAAAATCTACTTTCAATAAAAGAAAAAATAGAAAAACAGAAATATCTGGTGGGTTTTCTCTGTAAATCGATGATTCATAAAAATATTTGTTGTGCAGATACTATATGTGAAGCTCTGTACAACATAGTGATATCCTATCACCAAAATGATGAAATTGTTGGCTCATAGAACTCTGTGTGTGTGTGTGTGTTTGTGTGTGTGTGCGCTCGCGCGCGCCACGATGCTTATATGGAAGTCAGAGGACAACTTATAGGAGTCAGTTCTCTCTTGTGATGTTGAACTCAGGCCGTCAGGCTTGGTGGCAAGGGCATTTACCCCATGAGACCTCTCACTAGCTACATACATACATTATTAATGAAATATTTGAGTATGATTAAGTTGTAAGTTTCACTGAACAAATCTGCTTATAAAATGATCTAGAAAACTGAAGAAAAAAACCTCTTGTTTAGAAGTTTGATACTTCTGATCTCAAGTCAATGTTAACATAAATCCTAAGTATATAGATTATTGCAGAGATGATCTGACAAAAAAAGTTGGAGCAAATTTTTAATTATCTTTCAAAAGGTTTTGGTTAATTACATGTTCACTTATGAGGACAATGTGAATGCGAAATTGAAGACTCAACTGAGAGCATTAGCTGAGTTTGAGAACCTAACTGATTTTGCTCTTCTGTTATCAGCCTCAACAATTTGATCCTGTTTATAACTGTAGCCAATACATCTGCCTTAATATGGAATGGACCTTTTACAACTGGTCTCTGAACTGCCCAAAGGACGTGGAAATGCCAGACTGTGGATTCCGAGGATGGCCTGTTCAAGTGAACACTGACATATGCTGTCCTGAGTGGGAATGTCCCTGTGAGTTTGATTTTTCTCATACAGCAAACAGTGTCTGAATCAGAGAACAGTGTTGAGGTTTTTTTTGTTTTGTTTAATTTTGGGTTTCTTTGTTTGTTTTGAGATTATCATGTTACTATCCACCCCCCTCCCACCACACACATTTTCCCCACATGCCTCAAATATATTTTAATGAGGCATTCTTTAAATGTTTGCCCATTTAGAACTGAATGCATTAAAACAGATTCAGAAAACTTGAGGTTATTTCAGAAGCAAAAAGTTAGAGCCTTGCCGGGCGGTGGTGGCGCACGCCTTTAATCCCAGCACTCGGGAGGCAGAGGCAGGCAGATCTCTGTGAGTTCGAGGCCAACCTGGACTACCAAGTGAGTTCCAGGAAAGGCGCAAAGCTACACAGAGAAACCCTGTCTCGAAAAAAACCAAAAAAAAAAAAAAAAAAAAAAAAGTTAGAGCCTTGTATGAATAGAATAGATCTTGTAGTTGGCTATGATCATTCTTCCCTGCCTACAGCAGTTATTAGCATTTCATGGAGGACTTGTTGCAGCAGAGTGCTAGATCCCATCTCTAGACTTTCTGGTCCCTGTAGCAGGTCTGGGTTATTTGTGTTTTTAAAAAATGTATTTTAAAAATAATTTTATACCTATTTATATAATGTTCTTTGATTAAAAATCCCCCTCTTAATTAAAAATTATCCTCTCTTATCTTCCACAGAGAGCTATAGGCTACAGGGAAGAGGAAGTCTCAGTAATGTGGCCACTTAATACATTGTCCCCACCCAAGGAAATAATTCCCATCTATGCTCACACATCAAATCCCAGTTAAATGAAATGGGACACACAAACTGTGTATACACACACACACACACAAAATCGAAAAAACACTACCTGAAAGTAGAGGGAATTGGGAAGTAGGTATATTTTTAAGAGAGAAATTAGTTTAAATAATAATTTAAAAACCTCCACTCTGCATTGTTTTGTCTTAGGCCGGTGCTCCATGTTATCAGAGCTGAGCATTATTACATTTGATGGAAACAGTGCTGCACTGTCCAACAAGGCTTCTTACATCTTAGTAAGAATCCCCGGAGAAATTGTAGTTGTTCACATTGAAAAATGTCCCATAAATCAGGTAGGTTGTCATCCATCTTGTGGTCATTTTTTCCTAAATCTGTAGCTCATGTACATTGTAACACCCTGGATTCCACAGTGATAAAATTGTATTGAAACAAAAGAAGTTTTCATATAAAAGTATTTATAATAGATTTATAATATTACTCTGATGGTTTTGAAGGACAATTAATGCATTTACTTTAAATGTGTTTCTTTCTTTCTTTCCCCAGAATGGAAATGCCCTCAAAAAACCAGTGAGTATTTGCAAATAATTTAGTAAGTTCATTTTGCTTATCACTAAATCTATTTAACATCATAAAATTTTAATTTGTTTCCAAATGAAGGGTTCTTTTGGAAGAATCTCAGGACTTTGTTTTAAGAAGCTAAATGTGACAACATCTATACATAAAATACTTATCAATAGAGTAGCAAGAAAGGTAAGAACATGCAATTAAGAAATGTTCTCACATGGGATTATAGTAGGAACTTATGCAAAATAATCATTTCCACAAAAGGAGGAATTTAATATATTGGTGTATTTTTTATTGCTCTTATGGATAAGTATTCTTGTCACAGGAAGTTAGAAGATGTGTTTCTTAGTTTGATATTTTCCCTCCATTTATGTGAAGGCATTTCAAATATTTATTTTCCATGTGACTAATGGGGGTCAATGTTAAACATGCCAACACACTCTCAGATGATGTGTGAGTCACCAAGTCTCTTCTTCCAGAGCTAGGGTTCATGTGTCAAGTCTGATGAGGGGAAAGCTTTGAAGAGGAAGGAGCAATCTGTAGAAAACAGTAGGAGCAAGAACATGCCAGGGAAGAGCACCAGGAGAAAGGCAGACTGAAGGCTAGTTTGGAAGTGTTGATGCCACTATATTTTGTTTTACTTTTGACAGCACTATATGTTAATGAACAAGTACTAACTTAAACAGAAAGATAGCATATTCAAATTTACTCTAATAGCCTAAACAAAATTATGAAATGCTTGATAGGAATTGAGTAGTTTTATAGGAAAACTTCTAATCCCAAAGAATCTGTTTAGCATGTAAGACTGGATTGTCAGTCGAATACATCATTTAGATCTAAATGGTTCAATCTAAAGAATAAGGAAAAATGTACAAGGGTTTTACTTTACATAGACTGCATATTATCTTGCTTTTTAGACATAATTACTACATTACCATAGTTCCATAGATTCTATGATATAATTAATATTAAAATGAACACAAAATAAGATAGTAAAAGGGTTTAACTAAGTAAAACCTAAAATATATATGTATGGTAATTTTTAGAGGATTGCATTTGCATATTTTTTGTTTTGATAGAAGTTGATAGAGTACATAGTAAATAAATTCAAATATAGTCAGTGCTATTATTTTGAGCATTTGTATGGAAGGAATTATTATTATTATTGTTTGCCTCAGTTGAATATATTCCTGGTCAATTGCTGGTCATTTGTTAAACAACCAACCAGTTACTAAAAGTATTATTTGAGATGATACAACACTGATCTTAATATCAATTGACTTGCAGTTGTGTGGATTTTGTATACATGCCTGGTAGTTGGAAAATGGGAGATACAGGGATTAAAATTATAGTAATGTATCAGAGAAATGCAGAAAGGAGATGACACACTCACAGAAAGGGTCAAACAGGCCTATGTGGAGGAGATGAATCCTGAAGTCTTAGGAGTGGGAAGAAAGCTGGGAGTGGAGGAGGCAACAGGAGCAGGGTCCAAAGATGAGGACCCAGAAGGTGGGTGAGAGACGCAATTTTACCAAAACTGCTGTTACTTACAGCTCGTGGTTCTATATCATGGTAATGACCTCAAGTCACTGTTTTTTTTTAAAGTATAATCTCCTTTAAAAGTATAATATTATCAAGTGGACATACTGAAAATTAAGCCCAAAATCTAAACAAAACCAAGGAAGTAGAATCACTGAAATCCTTAATCTTAATTAGGTTTGCTAGATGACTCTTCTGAACATTATTACTCTTGAATTCTGATATAGAAGAAAAAAGAATCTCTGTCTTAAATCAGTACTAGTTAATAATGGTCTGATCGTCTGATCACCATGTTGAGGGAATCAGACTAAAGCAAATATGTGAAACAAATTTACTTTTTCAAGAAAAACAAAAAAACAAAGAGAGAATACTGAATATATCAAGGCAGAGCAGAGGGTCGACAAGAGAGACTAGAAGTTATCAGAAGCTATGGTATGCCAAGAGAAGTAAAATCTCACACACTAAAAACCCCCACGTTATATCAAAGCCTAATTTTCACTTCTATATTTCAAGAAATCTCCTAAGGGCTCTACATGTGTAATTCTAGGTAGACGTGGATTCTATTGTTGTGCCTTTGCCCTTTTCAAGTCAAGAGCTGCTCATAGAAGATTCGGGGACAATGTATGTGATTACTACTCCTGCTGGGCTAGTCATAAAGTGGGCTCACCTTACAGGGATCATAGACATTCACTTCGGCCCCCGGTTTAACTTGTCGTCCTATACAGAAGGACTCTGTGGTGAGTTCTGATGCTGAAATCTCTCATTTTCTTATGCGTTTTCCTTCTTACAAACATTGCTTTGTACACCAGTGGCCCACTTTCTAGATTGCCACGTGATGCTCATTTTCAGTTCTTCATGGAAGTACTTTAGGAAGCAATGACTTTCAACAAGTGAAGTAAGGAAATGTATTTCAGGTCAAATATTCTATTTAAATGCACATTTGTTGTGTCTAACTATAGGATTTAGACTAAGTCTTCTTCACTAAACAATCATAAGTTGTTAGGTATATTTTATCTCACTTAATTTTAGCCTGCATTAATATACTTATTGGTCCTGGTGTAACCTTAATTTATTAAAATAAGATAAACAAAAGTTAAATTATTTTATATATTTGTTTCCTTCTTACATTTTAATGTTTGAAGTCTGGAAAAACATAAGCCATCATGGAAGAATTTACTGTTCTGAATATTCATACCACTTTTACCATGAAGTGTACAGTTCATGTTTACCATTATGCTTAGGCTTCGTTTTGTAATATTTAATACACACATACACACACATATATACGTGGAATTACAAGTCAAACTGGACTCTGCAGCCATATAACAAAAATTTAGAACTACCAGATCTGTTGTGTTTTAGAAAGCTCAATATAAGGGCTCTTCACAGTAACGTGATATGAAGACATATTATATTTTTTGAACTTCATTCACATTAATATTTTGTTAAGTATGGTTTACATATTTCCTTGACTACCAAGAATATGTTAAACATTGCACAAACTTCTATGGTGACTTGAGATTATCATTCTCAAAATAGTTACTATTGAGTTTAAATAATAATTCATTAGTTACTGAGTAATAAAGCCAACTTTGGGAATTCATATCTATTCCTATGATCTATTTCTTCTATGTGGTATGGTTTTTAATTTGATTTTCATGGTATTTTTCTCTTGTGAAGCCAGTCATTTGAATAACTAGATTCTAAATAAGCAGTATAGGGAAGACACTAGGGTAGCATTTGTGCTAATCACAGATCAGTGCCTAAGTATATGACCACTACAGCGAGAGATGTCTGGTTAATTAAAGTGATGTCTATGTTTCATCAAGACTGCTAGTCTGAATGTTGGCTGAAGAAACTAGTCAAAAAGAGTGACTGAGAGAATACTAGATAGGAAGCCATTATTGGCATCAAATTCTTTATAGTACTGTGAATCCCTTGCATGGTGGTTAGAATGGAAACATTTTTGAAAATGTATTTGAAACTAACACATAGTTTTGCTATTATCTCTCACTACAAAAGTTTGTATGTAAAGAACTAGACTACTTTGATGTATAAAGTTATCTACAGATGCAACCTGTATTCATGCTGATATTCCTGTTTGGAGATTATAATTTGATGTTTAAAGAAAACGTTTAATTCACATGTTTTACAGAACAAAGTCTTGAAAATTAAGAAAAATGACAGGTTAAATTAGGGGGGGATTTGGGTGAGGTTTGATCAGGGACCTGGGGATATTTCTCTATGTTGTTCTTGGCTTTACACTCCACTGATGAGGAGTAAAAGCAATTTGTCTGGCCTTCCTCAAAGAAGTTCAAGGCTACAGCGTGTCAGTAAGTCAAAATACCTTGAAGAAACATTTTCTCTAACCACCAATCGTAGTTCAAACACTGACAGTGATATCCTAATATAGAATAAATCTTATTTAGCTCAGGTGACTGCCATCAGCTGCCTGATTTTCTCTAGATTATTTGTAAGGATTATGCCAACCAGATTATACCAATTAGTTTCTTTCCCCATTGCTGTTAAAAAATATCCCGACAAAAGTAATTTCAGGGGAAATATTCATCCTGATCCACATTTGAAAAGTATAGTACCCCATGGCAGGGAAATCAAGACAGCAGAAGCTTGAAGCAGTGGGCCACGTCACACTCACAACCAGGAAGCAGAGAGCAATGAATGCTTGTGTTCATCTCCTTTTGTTTTTTTCCATTTAGTCTAGGACCCAAAACCAGGGAATGGTGCCTCCCACTTTTAGTGTGGATCTTCCTACATCACTAAACCCAGTCCATGTATTCCCTCACAGACGTGCACGAAGGCTAGATAATCCCTCAAAGGTCTGTCCATAGTTTGAGTCCTAGGTAATTCTACATCTGGTCTACAGTTAACAATAACCATCACAATGACCCTTTTCTGGAGTTATGTCATGAGCTAGATAATGGAGTAGGAACATTTATTGAAAGGTAAAGTTTACTATGTTTGTACAAGAATTTCCTTGTAGAAGGGAAGACTGGAATTCATTCACCAAGTATTTACTGTTCTAGGAAGTATTTAATTTCATTTTTGTTTGGATACTATAGGAGCAGAATATTCATATACATGATTTCCTTCATATTCACTTAACATATATTTTATAAAAAAGACATAATTTTGAATGTTCTATCAATGCCAAAGTCAAAGAATACCCAAATTCAGCTGCTTATAATTTCATTCAAATAAATTATTCACTCATTTAATACCAAGTATTAAGCCAGTTTAGCTGTATTGCCTGTATTTAGCTATATTACCTGATAGTGAAAAAATTTCCATCTAAAAGCCACATGTACTTTCAAGGAATTTGCAATGATGATCCAGACGATGACCTCAGGATGCAGAATGGTACTATTATTACCAACATGGAAGACATAGAACTATTTATTGGGAGCTGGGAAATTGAGAAATCATTTCAAGTAACAATGAGAAGACCTGCTAGGAACTGTACTGAACATGATTGCAGCTACTGCATTGAGTTATTGAACAGAGACGTTTTCATTCCATGCCATGACAAAGTAAGTTAAAAAGCAGCCAGAAAAGCGTGATTGCATTAGAGTTTCTGAGAAAAAAAGGCAAAAGCTCCCATTCCTGCCATGGTATTCTACTGAGAATAGCTTCTCTCTGGTCCTTCTGTCAGTATGTTTGAAGTTCAGAGATGCTTAATCTTCTTCATAAACTTATAGAGACAGGAAGGATAATTATTATTTTTCCTCTTACATTTTGTTAGAATTGTATAACTTTTAGGGAAATGGAATTCTTAGCCATGAATAAATTCTTCTGCAGAAAGAGATCAATGATGCCTGATAACCATGTATAGAAGTTAATACAGTGAAGTTGTAATCAGTGCCTATGATGCCATCCTCCAGTGTGCATATACCTGTAACACAACCATCACTTAGTCAACTGAATTGATCTTTGTGTGCTCTTGTTTCCTCAGTTTATGGACTTCCCCCCTTACTCGCTTGCTCTCTCAATAAATATTTTAAGAGACTTGTGTCAATAAAAAAGATTTCTTGCTAGAGAAAAAAGGACAAACTGGTACAAAGTTTTGTAAGTCATTTTCTCTAGCATATAATAGGGACTGTGCTAAAATTCTGTGATATACAAATAGGGTCCTCCCTAAGCCTTCAAGAAATTTAAAAGGAGGGAAATCCGTGAACAGATATTTACAATACATGGTATGGAGATACGTATGAGCCCAGCTTTGGAAAAGCCTTCAGGTAGATTCACATATCTGAGCCATCTAAAGGCACACATTACCAGAAAAGAACGGGGAGAGAGAGAAAGATCAAGACACACAAAACAATGTGGATAAGAGAATATTTGGCGCAAAAGTCTATGCAGGGAGAATACTAAGGCATTTTGTGCATTCTATACAGGTGAAGGGCGGTCTAGGGAGAAGAGTGAGGAAGGTACAGTTAGAAAGGAGAGCCAGGCGGATCTCTGTGAGTTCAAGGCCAGCCTGGGCTACAGAGTGAGTTCCAGGAAAGGCACAAAGCTACACAGAGAAACCCTGTCTCAAAAACCAAAAAACAAAACAAAACAAAACAACAACAACAACAAAACCCCATGCACTTTGTCATTATTTAGATCTTTTTAAAAAAGCATCACCAATTCTTTTTCTTTTTAAAATTGTGTGTGTGTGTGTGTGTGTGTGTGTGTGAAAAACAGTTTTGAAAAACTGAGATCTAAGAGAAACTTTAATGACTTTAATTTACTACTCTGATTATTTATTCTTTGAAGCAGGGTCTCACTGTGTAGCCCTGGCTAACCTGAACTTGCTGTGTAGACCAGGCTGGCCTCAGACTTGCATCCACCTTCCCGCCTCTGCACCCCATGTACTGGCAGAAAAGGCATGCTCTATCTGATTTTTCGAATGGTTTGGGGTTAGCTCATGGCCTTTGGGAAAGTTAAAACGACAGAATTGATTTTGTGGTAAAATGCGTGTCTAGGTCTCTCCGAGGGACTTTTGTGAAAAAATGTGGATCAACTACACCTATCTCTGGATCTATGAATGCGATGCCGTTTCTGCCTATGTGGCTCTGTGCAACAAATTTGACATCTGCATTCAGTGGCGGACCCCTGAGTATTGCCGTAAGTGACCGCGAGCACAGTGATGTCTTCTAGTCATTCTAAAGTGTTCCCCTCTTCACAGTCCTTTCTACATTTCACGGTCAGTCACGAAATAACTTAGTAAATAGAAGGTGAGTGGAAAAAAGAAAACAGATGTCACAGTGCAAGGGCGGTCACAGAGCTTCAGAAATAAAAGGGAATTCGGCTCTGTGTCCTTCTCCTGTCTACCACCGCCCCCCCCCCGGGGGGGGGGAATCTCCACTCTTGATTCATCTTGAATGTCTACATCTCCAATTTCCCTAGACGCTGTGAAATTGCTCCTCGTCAAGACTGAACCAATTTATACCACCTCCCCACAAGCTGAATATATATATATATTTTGGTTTTTCGAGACAGGGTTTCTCTGTGTAGTTTTGGTGCCTGTCCTGAATCTCGCTCTGAAGCCCAGGCTGGCCTCGAACTCACAGAGATCCACCTGACTCTGCCTCCCGTGTGCCACCACCTCCTGGCTTGAATATTCATTTTTGAACAGCACGACTTTTTAAGAACAGCGGAAATCAACAAGATTTTCCTAAAGCATCGTTTAGAAGCTGCTCAGCAATGCTTCTTTTGGCAGTAAATGATTAAACCTCAACAGGCAGCTTTTTCTTGTTCTTTTTTTTTTTAAACTTAGTTTGAGTTACTTATTTAAGAAGTGTTTCCATGATTATCTTGCAGAGAAAAGGAAAAATTGTATCTCCTCTGGCTGCATGGAGATATTGGCTACATGCAGAAACTTTGTAATAGTTGACTCTATGTTTATTTGAAAGAGACTTGTACTGGATATTAGAAATATATATTTAACATATATTAAGTAAACACTTTCAACTACAATACTGAATACTATCTAGATACTTGAAGGATGCATTTGAATTCACAAGGCTCACTTTGTTTCTGGTTATGCAGTAAATGAAAAATAAGCTTTAAAGAACTAAAATATGCAAAATTTATCTCTGTAATGCAGGCTGACCTCCTTCTCTTTCTCAACCAGAATTCACATAGATTACCTTGGCTATTAGCAAATTCTGTCCTTTATTGCCTACAGCTCTGAGCTGCCCTGAGGGGAAGGAATATCAGCCTTGTGTGAGACCATGTGAAGCAAGGACATGCCTCAATAAATGGTTCTATGGACACACCACGTGTCTGAATTTGAGAGAAGACTGTGTGTGCAAGAATGGAACCATTCTTCACCGGCCAGATAAAACTCTGTGCATCCCCGAGCGAGAATGTGGTAAGGACTAAAGTAGAAAATGATTGCTCAGGAATCCAGCAATCACACACGTATGGTATCTTTTGTATGTTGGAAATTTTTGCTGAGGGAAATTGGCCAAAGATGACCGAGGTGTTGGAAAGGAAATGAGTTTGTAGTTTTCTTTTAATATGGATTCAGTTGGAGTTAAAATTAGGGTATTTGGTGATAATGGTCTTTAATCTTTACGTATGTATATACTAATAACTAGGAAAGAGCAAGGTAAATTAAAAATTAAAAGTACGTTGTGGGGTCAATTTAAGTTCTAATTATTTTTGTATCATGGTTCACCTTTGCCTCTGTGATTCTGAGGCAATGTATCCGTAAGATGGAGAAATTAATGGGACTTAGTCTGTAAGGTTAGAAGAGGGAAATGTAAGATAATTAAAGAAAACATTTTGTGCATTCAGTGCCTTAAGAAAATAAGGATGCAGGAAATGGTAGATAGCATTATTTTCTAGGGGAAAACACTTAAATACTCTGTGTTCATGTTCAAATTATTTTTGGCATAATGTCTTCATGGTTGTGGTAGATTTTAAAAAGCACAGAATTCTAAAGGTTGCAACACAGTACTTTGTCAGTCATATGGGTCTTAATCATGGCAAGAAGGAAAGTAATTTTGCTAATAACTAAATGGAAGGACAGGTAGAATAGAAATGTAAGGATACTTTCAGAAATAGGCTTGTGACTGCCAGTAAGGAAAATGCCTTTTCTAGTCATTCTAAAGTGTTCCCCTCTTCAACTAGGAAAGTTGTAGAAAATAGTATTTTCTGTGGACTTCACATCAACTTTGGTTAAAGAACAATGCAACGTACTAACTGAAGAAAGCAAAGAAGAATCTGAGAAAGTACATATTCATGACCTGAAGTTATATTGATGGGAAAGTCATGGTCCAAAATTAAAAACATCGTGGCTTGACTTGATGTAGTGCCCAGATTGTAAATGAAATAACATTGTTGATTTTTTGAAGTATGCACTGACAGTGAAGATCGGCCCCACATTGCTGGGGAGATTTGGAATGGGGGTATTGATGAATGTGCCCTCTACAAATGTTTGGAGGATGGGAGGATTGTTCCTATCGAGCCTGTCTGTGAAGAAGAGCCCTCCCCCATTTGTGAAAGAGAAGCTGAAGTTGTCCTGGGCTTTGTTGATGAGCTGACCTGTTGTTCTAAAGAAGTCTGTGGTATGTGGATAAACTGGAGCCTTTGTAGACATGCATTCTAATCAGTCTGAAAAAACGCAGCAGGATAACAATGAAGTTCTTCCATAAGTGTCATTTTCTCAAAATGAGTTATATAAATACATGTGTTAAAAAAAAAACTTGTCGGTAACTATTAATAATATTCAACAACCTATGGCAAAAGGCAGGACTCTGAATCTCTGATTATGATAGTAAGAGATGCAAGAAAATCGCAAAGAATCCTGAGAGCTGGTGTTCATATACAGCCCAGTTTGGGGCTTGGTGGCTTTCCTAGGAGTGAAAACACCTTTGCTAGAGCTATTTCTCCACTCTGAGATGGCAGCGTAAGATTCCAGTTGCGCTCACTGCTCCTGTAACACTCTGCTGCTTATTTCTAGGCTGTGACATGACGTTGTGTGACATGACCATTCCAGTATGCACGGGCAGTCAGAAGTTGATTGTTGGCTATAGTGCTCTTTCTTGCTGCCCACAGTATGAATGTGGTAAGTCCATCTATTAGGGAAAATAAAGCTCACTGTACGTTCGAAATAGCTGAGGAGGCCCTCTTCCCCTGGGTCTCTAAGGATGGAATTTATTGTAAAAGATTGTGAAGTTGCTAATTCCTAAAAATGCCTTTATATTAAGATTGTCACTCAATTCAAAGAGAGAAAAAATGGTATTACCTTATCTGTTGTCCCACTCATACACATGTTCAAACGTATTTGTGATTCTGCAGAGTGTGATACATTGAAATGCCCCAATATTTCAACACCAGCTTGCAGAGAAGACCAGTTTACACTTCAGGTCCGACAAGGAGAACCTTGCTGTTTCTACCCTTTCTGTGGTGAGTACTGTGGAGACCATTTGCCCCAAAAAGGGAAAGGAGCTGGGGAACATCTGTTTGCTGCGAATTTCATGGGTCTTGTGCCGAGTGGTATCCTGTTATCTTGTAGGAACTGAACTGAACGCAAATGGTAGAGAGCAGAGTACATTGTAAATAACTCAATAATATTACGGTCAGTACTTACCCCATCAACAAAACTATCTGTACCTGTCCAAACATCATCAAAATAACAGAATCAAGACTTTTCTTTAATGAGGAAAAGTATCTATCTTTTAAAAAGAAAATTTAGTGTGGGCTTTTCCAGAAGACCCAGCTAGAATAATACCCGGTACTAAGACATACAAGACCATTTTAAAACTTCATGTCTACATACCACCTCCTGTGAACTATAATGATCCCTAAAGAGTACAGGCGAATCAGACACATCTAAGAAATACCCAGATCAAAGCATTGATGAACTAGAGAGTGAATAATAAGGAAAACTCTTTCCCCAGTTCAAGAGAATTATCACACCAGAAATCAGAAGACACCTCCTGGAATTCCATTGTTTCCTTGACTGCAAGTGGCTAGATTAAGTTCAAACAAGGATTTAGGGGCAAGCACAAAAGCTCGAGAGGAAGAAGAGACGCCACCTCTATCTGCTTCCTGTTCTACTGTGTCTACATTTCTCATTCAAATTCTGTTGAAAGTGATTTTAATCAGTCAGACTTGGGTTTTCACACAGAGTAGTCAGTCAGGATGGGGCCCCTTTATTAATAGTCTTTGTAAGAACTGTGTGGATGAGTCATTTGCCAGAGTCATTCAGAAAATTATCACATCTGGAGGCATGTATGAACACGTTCCTAGTGCACTGTTCATCTATAAATGGGACCGATTAAAGGCAAAACAAAAATAAGATAATTACAGTAACTTAATCATTGCTGTTTTGCTTTCAATAAGAACAAATTCCTCTGGAAATAAATGGCTTATATTTCTGATAAGATATCCTCTTTTGCATTGTACTTAGGAAGCATAAAGTTGTACATTTAGGCAATGAATTATTTCCTTACTTCCTAATTAAACATATCGTACTTTATTTTGATTTGGCTTATAATCCGAACTAACCATTAACTTGATTTTAGCTTAGTGTGACTCCGGCTTTTTTGTTTCATCTTTAGTTTGTGAAACATGCACTGAACCAGCTCCACAGTGTACCGATGGGGAATTCCTCACAGTGGATCTGAACACTACACATTTATGTTGTCCACAGTACTACTGTGGTAAGGCCGTCTTAACTAATTTAAAATATCTTAATGTGTCAATGAAAAGTCCAAAAGGAGTTAGATGTTTAAGAAGTCCAGTGGTGCTGTTAACTTAGACCCCTTTGTCAGGGGTCTTCACGGGATGAACTGGGCTAGATCAACGAGTATGGCTTAATTCATGCTATCCATAAGAGCACACGGCAGGGAGGAGAAGAAGAAGAAGCCACTGGGCACTAGAAATCCTGCTTTGCCTTGGTAATGACAGCAAACTGATGAGAACCAGCAAGTCCATGAGATTCATCTTTTCATCTTTACCCATTTGGTTTTTCTTCCTAGTTTGTGAGCCAAACCTCTGTCCTCCACCATTACTTGACTGTGCAAAAGATATGAATCTGGTGAAGGAAAATATATCTGGACAGTGTTGCCCAAACTGGCATTGTGGTAACTCATTTCATATCTTAGAACTTTGTCATAATGCATTGACGTATTTTGATTCGGGTAAACATGTTGATTTTTGTTTTTTAGAGTGCAACTGTGAAAATCTTGTCATGCCAACGTGTGAAGTGGTAAGAATGTATATTTTGATTGCTTTATTGTGTTGTTCAAATTGGTATCTTCTCCCTTTATTGGCCTCTATTCAAAATTAATGTAATTGTCTGTGTTGTGTTATATCGAAGTAGATTAAAATAATGACATTACATCATGATAGTTTGTATTTTATTTAAGAAAGTAGCCTTGCAAGGTGTTGTATACCTTTAATCCCAGTGCTTATGAGGCAGAGGCAGGTGGATCTCTGTGAGTTTGAGGCCATCATGCTTACATTGAGAGTTCCAGGGCAATCAGGGTTCCACAGTAAGATCTGTAAAAAAAAAAAAGGTGATGCATAAAATATAATGCATTGTAATGTATAATTATTTAAGAGACAATTTAATCTACTAATATTATATTACTGAAGGTCCCAGTCCTTAAAATGAAGCAAAATATTGGAAAAAACATTATTTTAATTATTTAATTATTGAAAGGCATCTCAAATAATTCTTCCAGAAAGTGAGCTTCTAGTGCATACTTTACATAGGAGAAAGAGGTACAAATGTAACTGTTTGTCTTTTCTTGCATTACCTATGAGTATATAAAGAGAAAAATGTCAAGAGTTAATGTTTTAAGACAAAAAAGTTTACCACTAACTATTAACAGAGTGTGACTGGTGGGACTTTGTATGTCTTTTCATCAAATATCTTCGTTGGTTATATGCTATTAAGTTTAAAAAAGAAAATATATTCCTACCATCATTTATTAGAGCAGACATTGTCTTCCACAAAGACATTCTTATGTTTACATGTTTCTCTTTTTCTTATGTGTACTCCCAGCCCATTCAGACATCTGAAACCCAAGCTTTCTTGGGAAACAAGTGAGGAATAGCATCAAGTAATGGACTCCCTCTTTGCGTGTCGCTATTTTATTTTCAATATCACTTAATTTTACATTTGCTCAGGTGATGTTATCTATGGTTTACACAGAATGATGAAGATTTATAATAACTTTCGTAGTAGTTACTTTTCTCATAACCAAATGCCTGAAAAAAAAAAAGCATCTTAAGAAAAGATTTGGCCTCAAGGTCCAGGGGATATGGTCCACGATGTTGGGAAGGCTTCATAGCAGGAGAGAGAAGATCTGTTTACATTGTTGCTGCAGATGGGGAGCAGAGAGAGATGAACATTGGTGCTCAGCTGGTTTCCTCCCTTTTTCTTACTTATCTAGTCTGTGACACATTCCATGACATAGTACTGCTCTCATTAAGGGTGTGTCTTTCATCCTTAGTTAAACTGCACTAGCAATACCCTCATAGGCAAGCCCAGAGCCATGTCTCCTAAGTGATTTTTCAGGTCATGTTGACAATCAAGTTTAACTACCACAGATTTTGTAAAAAGTTTTCATCTGATTTGTGTGTGTGTGTATTTCAAGCACTTTCTCATAAAAGTAGGATCATGACATCTCTCATGTTCTTACTTAACATCAAATCTTCATGAACCTGATTTTTAGCTCATTTCATAAATAAGGAAGTTGAAGCTTATAAGGGTAAATGATTGATTGAGGTCAGGATTCAAAGGGTGTATGTGAATGTGAGTGTGAGCATGTGTGTACTGGATACCTGGCCTGTACTATGGTAGCCAGTGGAACATTTCAGATTAGATCTGGGGAATTCCAGTCATGATTAACTTCATCCAGAGCATCTCTGCTAGCCTAGAAGATACTTAATCATCATTTGTCTTAAGTGTAAACCAATTCTACAATGAGAATGACTTCATGTCCAATTTGAAAAAAGCTCGGTTATAACACATATTGAAAGGATAGGAGATATGAGAATGCCTATACACTGCTCGAGGTGATGTAAAATGGCGTACACACTTTCAATAACAGTGTAATAATTCACTAGGTTAGACAGTTACCACTTGGTCCAACAACCCACCCACAAGAAAGAAAATGAATGCCACACAGAAACTTGTTCTTGAATATCATACTAGCCAAAGAGTGAAAACAACCCAAGATGATTGAGTTTTCTCCTAACCTTAAAGGACCATGATGCTTATGCAGGAGCACACTGTCTTATTGGGTGTAATGTTAAGGACTGGTAAATAATAAAGATATATTCTGCTGGTGGAGTTGAGTCCTTAAGAGATAAAGCTGCAAATAAATGTGTGGGTATGGTCTGAAAAGACATAGAAAAAGGAATAAAAAATTGAAATTTGAGCTTTTGAGGAAATGCTGTGTGTGACTATGTCCTTGATTATTAAAAATGAAAACCTGTGGTAAGTAACCTGTACAGAAACACCAGGCAGATCCCTTATTTCATCTTTAGAATACCATTTGCACTGGTAGAATTGATTAATAGTTTTTAAAAAGTTCCATTAGAAAATATTATTGCCAATCTCCTTGCAATTGTCTTTAAAGTCATAAAAAAACAAATGAATTACCACATGAAATTACAAGTTATAGGGCACAAAAAATGTAACATAATATCTTGAAGGAAAATTAACTTTAAGATGGTGTTGTGAATTTATTAGAATAAATTCTTTATATGAAGAATCAAATTCATTTTTTTTTTTGTTTTTTTCGAGAGAGGGTTTTTCTGTGTATTTTTGTTGCCTGTCCTGGATCTCACTCTGTAGACCAGGCTGGCTTCAAACTCACAGAGAACCGCCTGGCTCTGCCTCCTGAGTGCTGGGATAAAAGGCGTGTGCCACCACTGCCTGGCTTCAAATTCATTTTATTAATGTGTGTTATGAAGATTAAAGGCATTGTGGAAAAGGAAATACTTACAAGAAAATAATTGAAAATTTAGGCCTGGTTCTATGATTGATTAGAGCAGTGGTTCTCAGCCTTTCTAATGCTGTGACTCTTTCATATAGGTCTCATGTTTTGGTGACCCTGGGCCATAAAATTATTTTTGTTGCTACTTCATGACTGTAATTTTGCTATTGTTATGAATCATAATGTAAATATCTGGTATTTCCAATGGTCTTAGTTGTGGTCTGTGAAGGGTTGTTGGACTCTTAGAGGCTTGCAACCTACAGGTTGAGAACCTATGTCTTAGAGAATGCTAAACCATTTCCATTAAGGTGAGGTTTGAGTCTCAGTCATGACAAAGGGTGACTAACAGCTGCAGGTTATACAGTACTCTTGGGGTGTTGCTTCAGTCTGACCTCTTTATACACGCTGGCCCATTTATTTCTTTCCATAATGCCAAGTGGCCAACAGTACCATTATATCTACTTTATAGATATGGGTAATGAGGCACAGATTGGTAAAGTAACATGCACTTGTTCATATAACTAGTAAAAAGGGAGCCAAGTTCCGCACATTGCAGTTCTGTTCCTGAATTGACTATTAGACACTGCCCTAGACTCACTGATTTACTCTATGTATATGCCCATAGTTGCCTTGCTGGAATGTAGACCCTGTAGATCTTAGAACTCTGGACTGCCTCCAGAGAGCAGATTAATACATTTCCAGGGCTGCAAGCTTCTTTTCCTCCAAATTGCCCTCTAGAACCTTAGAATCAAACAAATTTAGTAGGATTTTAGAGTTAGGACAAACCATAAATATCATCATGTCCACCTTCATTTATTTAATAGATAAAGAAACTGAAATATAAAGAGATTGAATTATCTATGCTGGGGAGATAGTTGAGTAGGTAAGTTCACTTCGCAAGAGTAAGGAAAAGAGTTAGGAAACACAGCACCTATGTACCTCACCTACGTTCCCTGCCCACAGAGATAGAAGATACCTATGGTGCAAACTGGCTACCTACACTAGCTAATTGATGAACTCTGAGCACAAGTGAGACACCTTACCTCAATGTATAAGATGGAGAGTGACCAAGGGAGACACCTGTTGTTCACTTGTTTCAACATACATGTTCATTCTCATCCACACACACACAAGACACACTTGTGCCTACACACATGAACACCTACTCCATACAAGCATTGAATAATCCACAATTACATTTTTATTGTGATTTTTTTCCTGAATGCTCAGCAAGCTGAAGCCTACTCACTAGAAGGTTTGTTAAGTATCTTAAGTGTCTAGCTCGGTGAAATTATTTATAAAGTGTATTTTGAAAATGATCATGATAAGTCACATGATACTTTCTTTCTAATAGGGAGAATTTCCCACGATAGATCAGAACTTTCAGAGTGACTGTGGATGTGTACAGTATCTTTGTGGTAAATGCTTTTTTAATACTTTTAAATAATAAATGCTTATTATTCGGATCTGTTGTTTAGTACTGATATATTTAAAAGCATTTTCTTTGAGAAATACTGTATTGTAATAAGCCCAATTGCCAGCACTCTAAGAAACAACTCTTATTTTTTCTTCATCATACCTTAAAATGTTCAGAGAAATTTGATAAGATAAAAAAATGAATATTTTACTAGAGAACTGGAATTTTTTCTATGTCACTTTAAAATATGCTATCAACATTTGATCTCAGCCAAAAGGCCAAGAAGTGGTAGATTTGGGGGAAAGGGGAGGTGGGGGGGGGAGACTAGGGAGAGATGAAGGAGGGGAAATTGTGGTCAGAATGAAATATATGGAGATGAATAAAAAAACCTATGCTATCTAAACTTGTGAACATGTTTTTGCTCATTGTTTTATAATCAGTATTACCATTTCAAAGCATGAAATACTATATTTTCATACTAAGATTTAGTGGGCTCACAGCATGTAGAATATTTCTTCAATGGCTTAAATTGCTTCAAAATTTTGTCTGAGCAAACAACGGCTGAACCTCAGATTTAGAGGCAAGGAGAGCTTCTGGGCTACATCCAGCCCTCTCCCAGCCTGCTCTAATATGCCATCGTACAGATAGAGTGGTGCATTACCCCAGCAGCACTAAGAATGGAATCATTTCTATTAACATAATGATCATTAAAGTCACAAAATGTTACAGAGTCCCACGAAGAAAAGCACTACTATTACTGAATTAGACTTTGCATCCATCTAGATCCACATTAACAGTGGTCATGGTCTGTGTCCTGGAGAAGGACCAGACATACCTTGCTCATACCTGAGACCTCATCCTTCTGGACGTTGCTATAAAATGCAACCTTTGGAGCATGTTAAGACAAGTGATTTTTACAGATTGATTTTATTATAAGTTCTATTGATTGGTAACTACAAAAGACAACATTGTGTGTGGTTTTTTATTGACTTTTTTTTTTTTTAGAAAAGGATGATGTGTGTGTGTTTCAAGAAGTATCAGTATTGAGTCCTGGACAATCCCTGACAAAGTATTTGGAAGGGGACTTTTGTTACTCGATAGACTGTCTGGAAGAAAAAGATAACAATACAGGCTTTCATACTTTGAATGCTACAATGGTGAATTGCTCAAAAGACTGCGATGTTGTAAGTATTCTTATAAGTTGCTCTGGTGGCCTAGTGAGCTTAAAATTAACAGCTAGAGAGTTTGAGCTTGCGAATACCCTATACACTTGAATAGCTCCTCAGCACTATTATTTTACGAGATGTCTATATAATGCAGATTTTCACTTTACAATGAATGACCATGAGCTTCAAGAGCTGTTATGGGGAGCTTTCTTGCTTGATTGACCTAAGATTGTTGCACCTGCTTGATGAATATTGCTGTAGACGTAGAGGTTAACACCTACTTCATTTGTAAGTTGGCTATACAAAGTAAATTATTCTTTGAAGCTACTCAGATGCAAGTTTAGAAATGCTAACAGAGAGAAAACCTTCAGAACTAACTCATCAACATGCTAGTACTGCTGCATGGCTAATACCCCGCCTGTTCATTGTATGCAGCACCAGATGTACACTCCATCCCCCAGTGATTATGATTGCTGTGGAACCTGTAAAAACGTATCCTGCAAATTTCAGATGGAAAATGGAACATCAGTTATATATGAGGTATAGATTTTTATTCCCCATTAAAAAATATCACCTGGATACCTCTGCACACACTGCACATTAATATATTTGTTATATTTTAAACTTTTTGATATTCTTTGATAATTTTATAAAAACTTGTTTAAATTGCTTCCTAAGGTAATTCTAACTTGGACTCTCACAATTTTCCAGATGTGAGAAATGAGTTCTAGGAAAGTCTGGTATCTAATCAATTATGGGGATAATAAAAAATTAGTATTTTTATGGAGCCATTAAATTTTTATTTTTGATATATTGGATATAAAATCAAATTTTCTAAATTTGAATATTATTTTTATTACCCCCCCAGTTCATGGAAGATCTGAAGCTATTTATAAACTGAGATAGGACCTCGAACAGTGGTTCTCATCCTTTCTAATGCAGTGACCATTTAATACAGTTCACCACACTCACGCTGTGGTGACCCCCAACCATATAATTATTTTTGTTGCTACTTCATAACTATAATTTTGCTACTGTTATGAATCACAATGTAAATATCTGATATGCAGGATATCTGATATATGGTCCCAAATGGGTCTCAACCCACAGGTTGAGAAGCCAGTGACCTAGGGCAAAGAAAGGGATTGAGTTCATCTAAATTTTTACTGGTCTACAAGGAACCTTCAAGAATTTGACTGTATTTTTCAGTTGTAGCTACAACACAACAAACATCAGGATGCAAATGTTTTCTTCTAAACCTGGCATTAAAGGAGCAGGAGGAAGAAAAATCCCAAGCAAAGATTGAGAGGGGTGTGGTTTGTTGTTCTGTCAGTAGTAAGGAATATCAGAGTGAGACCTTTGGCATTTTGTCATTAGAGAATCACTAGTAGAAAAAGATACCACTGTTTTTCCAGTTGCTGTATGTCCTATTAACCTCTCAGTTCCATTATGAAACCAAACACATACAAACATGTACTCTCTCTCTCTCTCTCTCTCTCTGATTTTTGAGATACAATTAGGGACATTTTCAAATGGAATTTTAATGTCCCAAGAAGGTCTCTGTTGTTGTTTGTTTCTACTCTTTTGGGGGACCTGCCACCCAGCTCCCAAATAAATCACACATGGAGGCTTATTCTTAATTATAAATTCCTGGCCTTAGCTTGGCTTAGTTGCTACCCAGTTTTATTTAACTTAAATTACTCCATCTACCTTTTGCCTATGGGATTTTCCCAGTCTCTTACTTCTGTAAACATTACTCTTACTCCGTGGCTTGTTTGGTAGCTTGGTGGCTGGTCCCTGGAGTCATCTTCTCTTTGTTCTCTCATTCCTTCTTCCCAGATTTCTCCTACTATTTATTCTCTGTGCCTGTCAGCCCGGCCTATCAGTTCTTCTACCTTGCTATTGACCATTCAGTTCTTTATTTGACCAATAGGTGTTTTAGACAGGCAAAGTAACACAGCTTCACAGAGTTAAACAAATGCAACATAAACAAAAGTAACACACCTTAAAATAATATTCTACAACACTCTGTCTTTTTGGACTTGATTAAATATTTAATTAATTTAAGGATCTAAGGAATTGACAGATATTAGCATGGATAGCAGTAACTTTCTTTTTTTTTTCCTTAGGAAGGGAGCACATGGCACTATAATTGCACCACATATGAATGTGTTAAGACTGATGAGGGAGCACTGATTCTAAACTACAGCATGGTCTGCCCTCCTTTTAATGAGACTGAATGCAAACTGGTTTGTACTTTGTTACATCTAAAGAAATTCTGCATTAGCTGTAATTTAGGAAGTACACATTAGTCTACTTTCCAAGGTCCTACAGACACTGTGGCTTATTTGCTATGGAGGATGTTTTCTTCGCATAAATAAAATCTCTGGTGTAGCTCTTTAGTTTGCCATTTTAAATTCAAATTGGACTTCCTAAGAATGGATAATTTGCTATGTCTAGGTTTTTACGTGTATATTCAAGGATAATTGAAAAATCCTTTGGTCAGCAAATCCAGGCTCCCTTCTAATGCAGATAAATGTGCTACTTAATTGAGTTTTACCTTTTTTTCCTTAGACAAACATATAGATTTATCGTGTCATTAATGCATCCTGATTTAGTGACATTTACCTTGCTTCTCCAATACAGGCCACTGGAGAACTTAGGCTTTTCCAGATTTTATAGTTTTGCTCTCTCTTCTCCCCACCCCCCGCAACCCCACACCATTTTCTCAGAGAAAAATCTATTAGGGGAAAAGATTCTTAAAGGGTTATGATTTTTATTTTAAAACAAACTCTTTCCAGTAGTATAGTCTCCTTGATTTTTCCTCTGAAGCTACCCTTTAATAGTGATGGCTAGAAAGCCATTGCATGTACTAAAGTTATATTTAAGTCTTGGAAAATGGGGTTTGTTTGAAAAATAAAGTATTTATTAAAGAAAAAAGTGTCCTCTTAATATTTTATGAAATTTAGAAATTCAATTCATCTAATTATTATAGTTTATTTTTTGGAGTTGAAAATGAATGACAACTAGTCAGAATAGCTTTCATTATTTTATTATCTTAAAAATATTTGGAGCATTGAAAAAGTATTCCTTAAGTAGCATATTTTAGTACTTTTTGTATTAAGGTAGAGACAATTCAGTTTTTAAGCAAAATATTGTTCCTAAGAAATTGTTATTAGGAATTGTTAACTTCTAATTGTTTCTCTATAAAGGCTTTGTGATGGCTGATAAAATATTGTGAGAGTTGGCTTTCAATTCCAGGTTAAGAGGGAATGGATAAACACTGTATCTTTTACCTTTTTTTCTTTTCTAGAATGAAGGAATTGTAAAGCTTTACAATGAAGGCTGTTGCAAGATCTGTAAGTGAGGATACAGTCCATGTCATCATAGAGTAGTTTTCGTGGCTCATATGGTTGCTGGGTTCTCTCAATGGTCTGTTCCCAAGATGTACTTTGTAAAGTCTGTCCTTTAAATGCTTTTGTGATGTGTGGTAGATATTCCTGTAACGCAACCTTTATATTGTGTGGTATATGTAAAAAGTTTTATCTGGATAGATTCTCATTTTATTTTTGGACATTTCTTTATTGTGGTATTTTCCAAAAATCATAGTCTGGATTTTTTCTTTAAAATTAGAATAATTGTATATGTATGGGTGTTTTACCTGCATGTATGTCTGTGTACCACATGCATGCAGTGCTTACAGAGGTAAATAGAGGGCATCAGATCCCCTGGAACTGGAGTTACAGAAGGTTGTGAGCCATCATGTGGGTGCCAGGTATCAAACCCCACGTCCTCTGGATGAGTAGCCAGTCATCTCAACAGTTAAGCCACCCCTTCAGCCTCTAGCCTAGGATTCTAATAGGTTTGAGTTTCAAGTTCACTATGTCCTACTTTGCTTGGAATATGCTCAACTACACAAACCTAGGAAGCTTATGATAAGAATGCTATTGAGACACCAATGTGGACATTCAGGAGATTATAGTATCTTCAGACCATTTGAACGAATCTGTAAGTCTGTACTTCTGGGAAATGCCAACAGGGAGTTATGTTTAAATCCTATATTTAGAAAATTTCATGGTAATTAGTTAACTACATGTAAGTAATGTATTTTATATTTGTTTTAATTACCAGTGTATTTTGTGATTTTGGATAATTTAAAGACAGAAATAGAATAGAGGACTATGCAGCCAACCATTTTTATTTTTTAAAATATGAATTTATATGAATGCAAAAGTAGGAATTTTAATGAAAGTTATATAAGTAGCAATTTAAAAATTATATAGAGATGCTCTGGGGGAAAAGAACATAGTATAATTTGGGATAGATTATTAAATAAAAGCTGAAATGTTTCTAAGTAAGATTTGTGAGTATCCTGAAGGACTGAATCCCATGAATACATAAAGATAGAATATATAAACATATATAATAATTTACACAAAAGTCCACTGCAATAAATTCTGGAAATATTCTGGTTTTCAGCTCAAAGAAGTTAAGTAATTTGACCAAATCAAATTTCCTGTAATTATTGATGATGGGCTAAAATTTAGTTCCATTGTGTATAAACACCCAATTAAGTCATAGATAAGTACCCTCCCCCCCAAAAAAGTGGAAAAGTTCAGCATTTTACAACTTCATGTCCATTTTATTGTGTGACTTTCTAGGTCTATTGAAACACAAACTCTCACAGAGCAGGTGGCTTAAACAGCAAAAGTGGACTGTTTTATAGATCTGGAGTTCCCAAACGTAGATGTTGGCAAGCTGCTTTCTAATGAGTTCACTGAGAGCATAACCTCTGTCCCTGCCTTATAGATGACTATCTCCAAACTTGTATTATGTTTCTGTGTGTGTGTGTGTGTGTGTGTGTGTGTGTGTGTGTGTGTGTGTGTGTGTGTAAATTTCTCTTTTTATAAGGGCCAGTCATATTGCATTATAATCTACATACTTAACTTATTCTCATCTGAGTGCCTCTGTAAAGGCCTTTTGACCAAACAAAAATCACATTCTATAGCTCTACTGAACATAGGAAGAGTTGAGGGACACAGTTCAAATAATAAGAACTATACTGACTGGACCTTAAAAAAAGAGTAGAGTGACATACATTTAAAATCTGACGAAACATCAAAGGAATTTTTTTCTGTTCATTGAAAATAAGCAATTTTTCATTCAGTAATTCTCTGAATCACATGTGAGCTAATGTTTATCGATTATCTACTGTATCAGGAACACAGGAATTAAATTTAGCTGTAGAACCTAAAGAGACTTATATTTATATATTCCTACTTTTCATTCCTTTGACAGCTTTGCAGTCTAGACTTTCCTTTAGATATGAGATAGAGGCACAGTCATCTTCAAAGTCAAAGCCATTGTAATCGGCCCCATAACATCATCCCACGATAATTAATAGACAAGTTAGTGTATTTCTTTTCTGAAGGCCAACAGGGGAATAATTGGGTGGCTAAACTGATGAATGACACACTAGTATTCCCCAGCCTGCTTAGACATGACCACAGCCAGTCCTTGGAGGAAGGTGTAGCTTCCTGAAATGATCAGGAAATCAAGCCTCAGAGAAGAAGATTCTATTAGGCAATAATGGGCATCGGCCCGTCGTAGTTCATCTCTGCCAACCTCTTTGAGTTGCAGAATAATAGCAAACTGCTTCAGTAGCCCTCATCCAGTGTGTAAGTAATGCTTTGACATTAGAGAAGGTTTATTACAGCCTTACATTCTGAATGACCAGGTTATGCTGTGGAGTTTGTAGAGTTTAGGTACTAGCACAGGTGCTGTGAAAAAACAATTTTACTACTAAGAAATCTGTGAGGAATACATAGGAAATACCTCTAGGAACAAAATATTCAACTAACCAACAATGAGTCATGTTATCCCATATATTAATTAAATTAGTTTTTCCTTGACAAGGGCAGTTTAATTTCAGCCACTTTTAGCTACCCATCTCTCCTCAAACCAGAGTAGCTTAGCTGTCCCTGTTGGAATTTCCTATCAGTGTGTGTTTTAACTAAGACTTTCATGTATAAGGTCATGTGAAAACTGATCATGTAATTCCCCTGTTCCATAAACAAGTATATTGAACAGAATGAGTCAATGAGTTGCCTCAAGTGGCAAAGCAAGTTCTCAGTTGCATATTGATGCATACTATTGTGTCGTGAATGATTATAAGGTGATTTTTATTTGAAATCGTAAAAGACCATTTCAGAGTCATAGGATAAAGTATGAACCATTCATGCTTTGCAAAAGGCTGACAAATAAGGTTTTATACTTATCATATTAATGAGTTGTTAGAAAATGTAGTTTTATATCCTGGTTTTATTTAAAAGTTGCTGCATGCCAATGAATTATTTACACACATTGCATTTTTATACAAATCATAAGTTAAATCTAAAAATTCATTATTCCATATATGTAATGTTTTGGCTAGTAAGAATAGTGATTATTCTAAGATAATAAGGTTAAAAAGTGAAAATAACTATGAATCTAGAAGACACAAGCTATATGGAAGGAGAAAATAGATATACATACAACATCTAAGAGTGGAGTTTGGAAAAAATTACTACTGAATATATGATTTAAATAAATATATCAAATTTCCAATCTAATTATATTCATGTTTTAAATTTAGAAAGCATTTTACATGGGTTTGTAATATTTATTTATTATTTTTATTTTTAATTGGGTAGGGGTATGAGTATGTTCATGTGAATGTGGTTCATGGAGGGGCCAGAAGTGTCAGGTACCCTGGGACTGGAGTCATAGAGAGCTGTGAGCCATCTGATGTGGGTGCTGGGAACTGAACTCCAGCCCTCTGGATTAGCAGCAAGGGCTCTTAATCAATGCAGTCATCTTCCCATTCCCTTACATGGGCTTTTTGATGAACAAATATATTCTTTTTTTTTTTTTTTCAGGCAAACGAGAAGAAAGAGTATGCCAGAAAGTGATCATTAAATCCATCATAAAGAAACAGGACTGTGTAAGCCAGAGCTCTGTAAGTGGAAAAATAACACTGGTTACATAAAGAACATTTGTGCTTCTGGAAATCTGTGGATCACTGACATGTGACAAACTAATATGCCAAGAAAATGTCAACATACAGTATTTAATTTTGAGAGTGTTCCTAACCTCTAATATTAAAATATCTGAAGAATCATAAATTATTCTTAGCATAATCAACAGTTCTCAATGCTGATTGCAATTTAGAGAGATAGACATGTAATCTACAAGTATTTAACTACATTTTGTCTTTAGCTGTGTAATTTTACTCAGGGAATGTGGTCCACATTATTGCTTTACTCCTTTTAGTATGTCCTACTCAATTCTAAGCTGTACTTCTACCACAACCTGGCACCAGCGACCATAGAATTTTAGGGCTGGGATTAAGTTATTCCATATTTCTATTTTTATGCTCGCACAATTCATTTTTTGAATTATGTAAGCATTGCTGTATTGAGCATGACTATGTAACAACCCTTTGATGTATGCATGAATCATGTTCTAATATAGTATTTCCACAATCTTTAAACATATAGAAGACTGGGGAATGAAATGGTAAAATAGTCTGACTCCTGGGAAGAATCCAATAATCACCAGTGTTGACTGAACTTGAAGATTTTTTTCTCCTCATTATCTGTCCTTGCAGATCAATGTTGCATCCTGTGATGGAAAATGCCCATCAGCGACCATATATAACATCAACGTTGAAAGTCACCTGAGGTTCTGCAAGTGCTGTCGTGAAAATGGAGTGCGAAACGTAACTGTGCCTCTGCACTGCTCAGGAAATGGCACAGAGGTTATGTACACACTCCAGGAACCTATAGACTGCACATGCCAGTGGAATTAGGCTCTTGCCTTTGAAGAACTCTATACAATAGTGTCATGGCAGGCAACATCGGCTCATCACTGTTATTTAGGCACATAACAGACTTACACGATATAAGAATAATGGTGTCCTTAACACTATTGGAATTTGACAACCTAACAGCTGGTACAAACTGTGTATAGTTTCAATGGAAAAAAAATCAATTTGTAGTTTTATTTCAGAGAATAAAATTATTCCAAGTTGTTAAGTTGGAATGCTGTTATATTTATAACTGCATTGTGGGGTGAATTTAAATATTCCTATAAAGTGGAAGACTTGTTGCAGAATTCCTTCTATTTCAGTCCCTAGTTCTCTTTCTTTTGTTTTGATTTTCAGTCTGCCATGGCTGTCTATATTGAGGCAGACTTTAATTTCTACTGCATACTCTGGCCAATGTGATCGGTTATAATTGGCTGATAGACAACCACAGAGAGTTGTGTGCTTAGACACAGAACATAGAACCACAGGTTGTTAGCTTAGTGAATACTTCAACAAATATTAGGAATGTTACTGCTAACCCCTCTCATTTTTCAGGCGTGACATTACCATAACACTTTTGTGACGTCTACAAATACATGTAGTAACAATGTGGTAAAGTTATGTAAACAATCTAGACTATTTTCTAAGTCTTTTTTATTCTGGTTTCATGCTCTTTTATTGTAAATGACACAGAAAGGTGAAAAAAAAGTCACAGAACCTTCCATTATTAAATAGTACTGGATAGGATTAAAAAGCTTACATCTAATATCCATTTAGAATGCCACATATGAAATAATAATTATTTAAATTAATAAGGAACAGGAAAATAACATCAGTCACTACACAGAGGAAGACCTGGAGCTATATTTTTTATACCATTAAAATTATTAACTATATTGTTACTATTTAACATTTAGTTCCTTTATTTATCACTGGGGGCTGTTTCTAAATATATCTGTACACTATGAAACCTGAGAGCTCTTTTTGCCATTAAAGCTGCTGCTATGTCAGTGAGGAGTGATAGAAAAATTATCTGAATGTATTCATAATGTTAGAACTGGAGGCTGTGAATCATTGACATTTGCAAATAATCTGATCTGAGATCTTTGCAAACTCCTGAATTCTTTGTGGCAGGGAGTGTATAATTATTTGAGTATGATTGTGAATACCAATGAAGTTCAATGTCAATAAAAGGACATTAAAATTGCGTTGAAAAGCTTAATAAGCTAGGGTTAGTTTGAGCTAAGTGACTTGTTTTCAGACATTAATGTTTCCATTTAAAAGTTATACTTTCAAGAAATACTGTAATTATGAAGTGTTTGGATTTCCAGGGTTGCTTAGAAATGGGTGAGTATTATCTGGAAAATCCCAACGTCTACTGTACATAAAAAAATGATTTACCTTGTTCGTTCTAATACCAGTATTTTTTTTAGATATAAACCTTTCTGCATCTATGACTATTAGCATAGAGATTGAAGTAAGTGATTTTGTTTAAATATATTAAAGTTTTACATAAAATGTCATGTATCTCAAGCAGAAGTAAGTAATATATGTTATCTATTATTTTCTTTTAAATTCCACTCTCTATTATTAAATATTAACTGATCTTTAAACCTATTTGTAGGGAGAAGAGAAATATTCTTCTGGTATTTTATAAACAACAAATAAAATAAATACATATTGAAGTTCTGTGATGTGTTTGGTGCTGTTCTAAACATACACAGTCTTTGCTTCTGTTCAACTTAAGGTTTAAAAAGAATGCAGTCTTCAACTAGTTATAAATATGAAGAAATCTAGGAGACCTGAAAGCTTATAGGAGTATAGTGTAAGATATCTTTCAAGTCAACAGAAAAGCAAAGATGGACTTTCAGTGATTGCTATTGGAACAGCTGAATCATCACTTGAACAAAAATTATTTGGGTTTATTTATTCACTGACATCAGAATACACTGAAAATAAATTCATAATTTCTATGTGAAATGAACCAATAGAAGTTCTAACAGAGAAATAGGGAAGAGATTAATTGTCAACTTGTCCAGGGGGAAAAATCGTTCTAAGTTTGACTCAATATACAGCAGCCTCCACACAAGGATTAATAAATTTAATAAGAAAATGACATGAGCAAAATCTGCATGACAATGAGAAATGTCAAAAGAACACTGAAACCAGAATGGTGGTGTTTCATGGACAGGGCTAACATTCCTGCATGCAAAAAGCTCCTGAAAAACCATAGGAGAATACACCTGACAAGAAATGTAGGCCATATGCAGATTGTTCAAAGAGAAAAAAAATAATACTGGTGGAGATTTAAAATCAATGCTGAAGTAGAATCACTTTCCCACCAAGCTGGAAAAAAGTAAGATTAATAATACTTTGTTTAAAAAAATGTGTGAAGGTAAGTCTCTTGTATTATTGCTGATGACTAAAAAATGTAGAAATCTTAAGGAAGACTTAGCAATATACATTGATATTAGAGGGGTGTTTTTGTTTGGTCATCCCATGAAGGAAATAGATCCTAGACAGTGCATCTGTATAAACACAAACTGGCAATTGCCCAAGGCTATCAATTTTTTATTAGAAAGCTTTGTAATCAAACCAACAAAAATTGAATAAATTTTGTAAATCAGTGATGGAACACTATGATGACTGTGGATGAAACAGAGAGAGATACAGTCATGTGAGTTGATCTCTAGAATTTAGTTGGGTTACAGGGATCTGAACTCAGGATTTTGTGTTTGTGTGGGAATCACTGTACTCACTGAACCATTTCTTCAGATGAAGGCAGCCTTTATGTTTCATTTTCTAATTTTCACCACCATCTATTAATTTAAATATTATTTATGAAATCCAGTATGATAATGCAATACATGGGACAAAGTGGTATAACGATAAAGTCAAGGCCATTTTATCTTCTCAAGCGTTAGTCATTTCTTCCTGTTGGGAACCTTTGGACTGTACTAATTACTTTGCAATATAGTACCAGCTCTTATAAAGTATTGTTACCCTGCTGTGCTGTAGAGCACCAGGGCACCCCCCCATTTAGCTGTATTGGGGTGCTTGTTTCCTAATCTCCCCATCATCTTTCCTCACTGCTCCTAGCATCACTGTTTCCCCCCATCTTCTTCCATGAGGTCCGTGTTTTTGCTTCCATAGATGATTGACGGTGCCCGATACTGGCCTCTTCTGCCTAGTTTATTTAATTTGCTATGATGAAAACTTCCGACAAGGCCTATAAAGGGAAGAGAGAAAGTGCCGTGCTAAATGTACAGCAAGATCTAACTTGGATCGTCTGAAGTACAGTGGTAGGTTGAGGCCCGAGGCTGAGTCAGGAATCAAGTGACCAGATGTTTCTACACAACATGCACCACGTACCAAAGACCTGTGGTGAGAAAGGAGCATGCCTGGGAATCTAACATTCTTTTTGTGCATTTGAGGATTTCAGTGGTATAAGAAGTGGCTGGTTAAGTAGGCTGGGAGGCCAAATAATTAGGGATTGGAAAAATACAACACCTGTAGGTTAGATGGAAAATGGTAGAGGGCACATGGAGAAAGCTGTATATGATATGTTTTGGAGGCAAAGTTTAAAGGACTTGGTAATCACTATGGTGCCAGCATAGTTGGGAGAATTCCTCTGCAATTGAGGATTGGGTTGGTGGGTGGATGGTGGGAATTTGTTGGGCAGGTAGGGAAAAAGGTTTAGAATTCTGTTTCCATCCTGCTGTCTGGTCTATGAAACAACTGAGTAAAATTATTAGTTTCTACCCATTTCCATTGGTCTAGTGGCAAGAAGAGAGAGTCCTGTCAGGAGTTATTAAGCAAGAAACTGCATAAAAGTATGATATTGAAGTTAGTGAGGGCAAGAGTATAGAGAAAGGAAAACAGAACCCACAATTAAGTAAAAAGATCTCTTCCACTTAGAGGTCATGCAAAAAGAGCTAAGGTAGGAGGCTGAGAAAGAAGAGGGAGAGGCTAATGTAAAGCTTGGAGTGGTAATGGGGAGGTCACAGAAATCCAGAGAATGCAAGAGACTGGAGTAATCTGTTAAGGGCTAATGGGAAAACCAATTTATAGAGGCAGAGCTCGCCATTATTATTATTATTATTATTATTATTATTATTATTATTATTATTATTATAAGCCATGTTGAAGATACAAAAAAGTGATTGACAGGCAGTGAATTTTCAATGTGCTCATCACACTGCTCTCACTGCTCGCACATCACACTCATCCTTCTACACCTGGCAGCATTGGGTACTCTTGGACCTCGGTGCTTGCTTTTCTACCCTGCTGCCGAGGAACCAGGCAAGCGGTGCCCAGGCAACTCTGGCTTCCCCACTGCTTATGGAACCCCTCAGAGCACAGCCTGTGAATGGCCCAGAGCCCTAGGTGAAGCAGTCTGACAAAGAGGGGGGGGATTCACTTCCTGTGAGATGAACCTGTGAGTGACAGGTGGAGAACCAGCAGGAAATCCTGCTTCTCCCAACTGTGCTCTCTCCTAAGGTGCCTGGCTTCCACTTGACCTTTGGATGTCTTCCAAGCTTCCTGGAGGGTGTGCCTTGCTATCTAGCAATGACTTGTGCTTAATCTATGCCTCACCTTACTTCTCTCAAACCAATTCCTTCTAGAGTCTTCCCTTCAGTATATACACGTACATTTTGTGTAAATATTTCCCGATTAGCTAGGGAATATGAGAAGATACAATTTTTAGCATATTAAATCAATAAAGATTTTTAGCCATTTCCAATGCCATTTTGAGAAGAGTGAGAATCAAATTCTCACATACTGTTTGTGGTTTGTTTTTTTTTTGCTCAGCCCTAGCTTATGCTTGTGTTACTAGCCATCTCTTATAACTTATTTTAACCTGTTTCTTTTAAGCTATGTTTTTGTCTCAGGGCTTTTTACCTTCCTTTCATTTTGTATGTCTTACTCTCACTGTTTTCTCTGTGTCTGTGTCTGTTTGTCTGTCAGCTGCCTGGTTGATTGATGCCGGTCATGGCTGGCTCCCTCTTTTTCTCCCTAGTTCTCTCCTGCCCAGCCCCGCCTATTCCTCTACTATTCCCCGCCTATTCCTCTAGCTATTGACTGTTCAGCTTTTTATTCGACCAATCAGGTGCCTTAGGCAGGCAAAGCAACACATCTTTACATCATTAGACAAATGAAGCATAAGCAAATGTAACACATCTTTGCCTAGTTAAAGTAATAGTCCACAACATAGAACCCTCCATCCACCTGGGAATTAAGCAACCTGAGTAGAGTTCGTTAATATAGTTACCCGATTTCAGATGATTTTCCCATCTTAGAGCTCCTAATCTGGGTATAGGCACAAACATATAAACAGTAAGTATTTATACTACAGCAGAACAGTGTTCTAGAAAACAGAAGTTCAGATGTTGGTGGTTTGTTACTTTCAGTGAGTGATATGTCAGGGCTCCGTGAAAGAGAGAGAAAAAAGAAGCCGAACAGTGGATGTGGTGAGGGGGCATTGTAGATCACAGATGGGCTTCTCAGTAAGCACTCTACACACAGATCACTTGCTTATTTCAAAAACATAATTCTGGGTAACCCAAAGAAACTTGTGGAATCCAAAAGGAGACAAGATCCAGATATTAATTTTTTTAGAAGTAACCAGAGAGGATAGATCACAAATGTACTTTGGAGAGACAATTCTGAGTTGTCCGTGGGAGTCATCCAGCTGGACAAATACCTCTCCTGAAGCAATCCACACACCTTTGAATCATTGGAGAGAAATGAAATCCTAAGCAGGTTGATTAGGGATCTTGAATATGGCTGAAATCATGAAGATGAATGAGTAGCCCGGATGTCACGGTGAATCAAGTACCTGTTTAAGCTGCAAGGTCAGAAACTTCGGTGAAGCGGACTAAAAAGATGGAAAACAAACAAAAGCCTCACATAAACAAAAACAAAACAAAGTTGAGGAAGTCGGGGCAGGTGACTGAAGAAGATGATGAAATTAAGATGTATAGGCATGCCATTTGTCAAGCATGTTAAAAAAGACTATGGGTCCATACTGTTAGGTCCCAAACCCCAAGTGGTAATGCTGCTCACAATATTGTAGATAGCACTCTGAGCTTATCTCAGGCTGGACTCTGATCGGATAAACTTTACCCGGCATTCCTAAGAAACCTTGTAAAGTAGGTTTCTGTTTGCCAGGGAAAGCCATTACTTTCTTATCTGCCCTACACCCCTAACCTCTGCAAAAGGCATTTAGTTCTCTATCAACTCCAACAGGCTTGCAACAGATCAAAGGCCCACACTGCTTTCCAGGCTCTTCCAGCTCACTCCCCTCCCTCCCGGGCAACATAACCCCTTACAACTGCCAAGAATTTCTCACCATTCTTGCTCGAGAGCTAACTATGGCATTGGTGAATTCCCCCTGAATAAACCTTTCTTTTTACCCATGGGGCGGTCTAATTTGGTGGTTTCACTGCGCCCTTGCTTACACATACAAAGTCACCTGTATAAATTGAACCCCAAGCTAAGGCTTGTTTATAGCCACGGTGGTGTTTCTTTCTCCCACCTTTCATGAGATGCCAGATTCTCACTTGCGTTGTCCTTCATCGCCTCCGCTTCCCTCGCCCTGTAAGTACTGAGCACAATTCTCCACTGATGTTTGAGGACTGGGCCTCCCACTCTTCCGCCTCTGCCTCTTCAGTTTCGCGTCTCCATGGAGACCTTTCACTCAATCCAACCCCGGGAGACAGCGTTGTGGGCGGGAAAAGCAGCAGAAAACAGCCCGGGAAGAGGCAGAGCTCTGAGGGCAGGAGGAAGGAGACTAGTGGGACCTGGACTGTGCTCTGTGTTTCCTGGGGTCCTCCCCCGCGCAGGGTCGGGATCTGGGCAGGCTTCGGAGGCTTCCAGGCACCTGCAGGCATCCCAGCCCTGCAAGCCCCGCGCTTTGACTAGCTAACCCTAAGCTCTTTTCCTTCCTGCATGCCGGGTGCCTTTCCGCCTAGGAATTTAAGCAATTTAGAAAACAGAGCGCACGTCTTTAGCATTCTAATTTACATGTAGACTTGGGGACGGGTACCCAGTGACCAGAACGCTTTCATCAGTTGGCCACTAAAATGAGCTGTGTGAAAGCTTTGTGGTTTTGTGGCAGGATCTGAAAGTCTGATGGTTGGTGATTTCTTTTTAACTGGCCTGAATTTGCTCTAAGGCAAACACCTGCTCCTTAGGAACCAAGGAGGATTTTGTAGGAAGAAACTTGCTTTTTGGTGACCATTTGAATGGATTCTGGGGACCTGTTTCTAATCAAATGGCATTTGCAGTTTTAGAAATATATATATATATATATATATATATATATATATATATATATATATGTAAAGCGTAGACATACTCTTTCTATATTGTTTTCTTTCTTGTTTTGAATTTTGTTTGCTCCCTCCCTACCCCCTTCCCTTTCTTTATTGAGTCTTATACACAGGGTCTTATTCCATAGCTGATAGCTCAGGTGGGCATTTTTTTTTTTTTAAGTCTAACACAAGAGTTGGATTCCTAAAGGCTGCCTCACGAGCTTTTAGGTGAAAATGTTTTAAAAGTAAATTGAGTTGAAGCTACCCTCGCTTGTTTTTCTACTTAAATTCCAACTTTATCAACAGCATTTGAAATATTTTTCATAATGATGGTGTCATTTTAAAATGTGAAGGATTACTTCCAATGCAGCAGCAGTATGTGGGTGTTCTAATTGTTCTTCTATTGAGGTTAAATAGTTTTGCACAATGAGATGTAATTTTGTGTAATTGTCTGGTAATTCATTTTATTTCTAACATTTTCTTCATATTCAATTAAAGCGATTTCTAGGACCAAATTATTTTCCTATGTATTGGAAAGTACTGAAGCTTCCAATTTTATTAGATGGTGGGTATTTTGTACCATGTACTCATTAATGCCTTCACATTCACCTGGATGAGCAATCAATCTAAATTGAAAAGACAGAATATTGAAGTCACACACACACACACACACACACACACACACACACACACGCACGCACGCTAAAGAATGTCAAATACTTTAGTTTTTAAGCTAAAAATATGCATCTTTGATTGAACTGAACACACTTTACTTTCCAGGTGGAAAAAAATCAATTATTCTACTGCTCCAGTTACACTGTGTTAAGATGAGACATCTTTCTGTGTGGCCCTTTGACAGTAATTAACAGTCAAGATGCAGTTGCCTTGAGTCTGTCACTTTGGAAAATGAGGGATGCATTAAAGGGAAATCATAATATCAGATTCAACTCATAAGAACATTTTCCTTTTTTAGGTGTTGCATCTATACCCATATGGAAATAGCACCTGTTTTCATCCCTAACAAATATGAGAATGGCCAGCAGGGAAGAGATCAGAGTTTAGTGAAGGGCCTGATAGATGAAGTATTTCAAGGTTGGTTTCTCCATTGTGATCAACACAGGTCTGTGGAGAGTTAATACAGCAATGCTGTGGTTCCTCAAGTCTTTGATGCTCAAGTTCCTTATTGAAAATGACATGGTATTTGCATATAACCCATGTGTATCCTGTTACATACTTTGACTCATGTCTAGACCATTTAGAATATCCCATACAATATGAATGCTACACAATCATTGCTGTACTCCATTGCTTAAGAAACAATGGAACTTTTCATAAGTATTTTTGATCTGAGGTTTGCTGGGTCCACAAATATGGAACCCAGAGGTCCAGAGGGCTGACTGAGTGTCAATCTTTTCAAACATATTTTTTTTTATTTTTGTAATTTAATGAAAATAAGTCATGTTGGATTCTCTAGTTTAATTGGACATTTTCATGATGTGTAAATAAACCAAAGACCTAAAATGACTCAAAGTCAACCATTCTTCTGCACCCAAATGTCACACTATATGACTCATCTGTGGAAGATACACTGTTGCTCTCGTAGATATTGAAAGTAGAATGGTGGTGAGCAAAGGCTGGGGAGAGTAGGAAGGAGGAAGAGATGGGGAAAGATTTACCAATGGGTACCAAGTTGCAACCTAGTAGGTGTAATCTAGTGTTCTGCCTTATAGGGAAGTGTCCACAGACAATTGTTATGCACTGCATTCTCAAAAAAGGTAGGACACAGGACTTTGAATATTTTCACCCAAGTGAAGTTATACATGTGTGAGGCAGACATGTTTAACGTGATTGTGTAAGGTATATATATGCAATGACATATAGATATGTATAATTCTTGTATCTTTATGTATCAATCAAAATATAAATTCAAAGAAAACAACAACTAGCCAGTTATACTCCTCTACTTTGTAAAGGATAAAGAATTACTACCTGGCATATTTTAATGGTAGCTCATGAGTTGTAATCAATAATGTAAAATCTCTCTTTTCTCCCTCATTCTTCTACTAACTATAAGCAGTACAAAAGGACTGTCTCCAGAACTCCTAACATGGAGAGTTGAAGCATCAGTGAAGTACCATCATGAACGGATGCGTTTATCTCCTCCAAACTAGCTGGTGTCTCCAGTCTTTCTGGATGCACAGCACGAAAACCAAAAATCAAGCAGTTATTCCAACTTTTCCTAGAAGGTGAAAGCTTGTGAAACCAGAAGACCAAGAATGGAATTCTTTGCAAGATTACCTAGTACTCTGAAATAAAACGAAAGCGGAAGCATTTAAAAATGAAAGAAAAATAAATCTAAAGTTGGGTTTCCTTTAGAAAGAAAAACATCTGTGTCTTCTTCTAATGGTGTTATAATTGCACACTAATTCTGCACAAGTAATTCTAGCAGCTACTTTACAACTGTTTTAATTGGTGACAATTCATTTCCTACTTGATTAATAAAAACATTAACATTTTTATTGGCTTGGGAGATGTATGAGGAAAATACACAGAAAACCAGGAGGTTTGCACCGTTAAGCCTCTAAGTATGTTAATAAGGGTAATTGTATGACATTATATTGCTGAGCTGTTCTTTAACATGATGTGTTTTGGTAGGTTCATGTTCACAAGGAAAAATAGCTGTCACAAAATTGCTGGTGTGAGTAAGTCATGAAAGATAGACCAGCGACACTATAGCACCCTCAAGTCTATCTCATCTTGTAGACATTTAAAAAGGAAAAAAAATGGAGAGGAGAGTAAATTCATATTTTCACATCTTAGGTCAAATAATCAAGTAATACTATGAACTGGTCTCAATGATGTGAAGGTCAGTAAATGTAAACAGCTATTGTAATAAATGAAACTTTTGTCTATGTTCATTCATTCATTCATTCATTCATCCATTGTCATTTAGTCCTGACTTCATTAATTCAACAAACATTTTTTATTTCATATAGTAGGCATAGCTTCTATATCTGCAGAATTTTCCAGTCAGCCCCTTTCATAGGCATCAGGTTCTCGGGCTAATTATGTTTTAATCGTGGTCTTCCCCTGATGGGTCCAGAAATCACATGGGTGAGATCATCTCATCCAACTCATAACTTACAACCTTATCCAAATCAAACCGTTATTAACTCACTTTCCTCCTATGAGATTCAGACATACATGTCTTAATTAGTGGTTGGGTTTTTCCACAGATATCTCTACATGGTCAAGTTGAGTGTGTAATGTCCCTCCCCTCAAACCTGTTCCACTTCCTGTGATTGTCACCTTGTCTACAAATATAATAATATGACCCAGTGTGGCCATTTATTCTTTTTCATCCTTTTCACTCCATACATGTAATGCTATGATGCTATTGTTACTAAAAGACACAGAAAGATCTGGAGGTTTTGTTTAGCACTAGTGAAATGAGTCTTGTGTGTGGTGACATTTTCTCCAGTTTTCCTAAGAGTGTGGAATGTCTCAAAAACTTTCATTCTGGTCTGTCTGTGATTTGCCCCAACCCCTGGCACAATCACCGAAGTCAGTTGGTCCTCTTCGTCATGATCCTTCTAACGTTTTCTGGCACTCTGTTTTCCGTCAAAGGATCACCTGGGTGTAACAGGAAGAAGAATATTAAGTTGCCCTGAGAAACTTGTTGTGGTTGTCACAGGTGAGCATGGGTGGGTGAGCATGGGTGGGTGAGCATGGGTGGGTGAGCATGGGTGGGTGAGCATGGGTGGGTGAGCATGGGTGGGTGAACCTGGGTGGGTGAGCATGGGTGGGTGAGCATGGGTGGGTGAACCTGGGTGGGTGAGCATGGGTGGGTGAGCATGGGTGGGTAAGCATGGATGGGGAGTGTCCATTTCCTTTTAAAAAGTGTTGACTGCATATTTAAAAATATTAATTTTTGAAGCTTATGCTAGTTATTCATGGGTATTAATTCTCAGGGTTGAATATAGATTTGATGATTGAATCACAATTATAGGTATGGATTCTAAATCCTAATCCATTTAGACCATTTAAACTCTTTTACACTAATCTACACTTTTTCCTCCTAAAGCTTCTAGAGCGATCTATTTTATATTAACCTTGACTGTAAAATAAGTTTATCACAAAATTTCCATAAGGAAAACAAATGCTGTGAATATTACTTCACTCAGATCCCTATAGCAATATTAGATTTGAAGAACAAGTTGCCACCTTTTAATCAGTTCTATTTAATTTCTCATGCAATGTGGTGAGTTGAACTCTAGGGGGCAGTCTCATCATAGGAGTTTCAGAAAATTCCCTTCCAGTCCACCACATGGTAATTTTTGAGTCCTTGTGTAGACCACAATTACTAATCTATTGTGTGATTAATCTTTATATTTATAGCATTTAATATATCACTGTATTTATAGAATATAAGACATTAGTTTTCAGAAACAATGCATCATTAAGCACATATCCTGAGTGTGGTGTGCATTTGTGTATCCATATTGAACATGCTCTATGTAGTTACTTTATTAATAACAGAATTTCACCATCTAAAATGTATACACTCTTCAGCTGAGATAGGATGAGTCAAAACCCTGTCTGTGTGCATCCATACTGCACATCCTACATTCACTGGGGATATTTGATGTTCTTTGAAAATAACAGAAGGTTCAGTTTAATGTTTATCCAAAACAAAAGCACATGTTGCATGTACCAAATACTGCAGAAAATATTTTTCTAACTGGGTACTAGGTACCAGGTGTTTTCTCTTCTTGGGACTTAGACAAAGCACCCTCCAGTTACCAAAGGCTTGGTTAGAACCCTTACATTTTCGGAAGGTGCTTTCTCTCCAACTGGCAGGTGCACTGGGGGAAATATTCCCTGCTGTGTAATGGTTTGATTAACTCTGGAACAAGAGAAAGGTGCAGATGGTCCTGTGTGTTTGATTTTTGGGTCATTTGCTGTGTGTAGTGACTGTAACCTTATATATTGGCATGTGTTCAAGATTTTGGAGTCCATATACTGTTTTCTTCTCTTAAAGTTGAGAAAATAAGATTTTTCATTTATCATTCACTCAGCTGGCTGTTTTTCAGTATCAAGAACTGTGATAGGCATTAGAGATGGGGAGATGAGAGAGAACAATCTTCAATGACACAGCAATTACACGTAGTGCTAACAGGGCGTGGTAATCACTGTCACACAGGTTTCACCCTGGATACTCTGGGAGCACAGAGAAGAAGAAAGTAACCCAGTGCCAGGGGTCATTTGTATCCCCCAAAGACTTCATGAATGACATGCTAGGTCACAAAGAAAGAGAAGGAGGTAGCCAGCAGGTGGGGGTAGGAAGGAAGAGGGATGCTGCAACTAGACCAGGCAGCAAGCTCATTATCAGAGAGGACTGAAGAGAGAAAACGTATCTATCTCTATTTGGGAAATCAGAGAGCTTTCCTAAAGACATTGACATTGAAACAGGTAAGGCCAGAGTCCAGGACAGTGTACAGGCAGAGTCTAGAAAGATGAAGTAGCAGAGAACACATAGTGTCTTGGAAAGTACATTTTATTCACTGAATCTTTACTATAGGGAGTCATGGAGTTTTTGAGACCATAGAAAGATTCAACTCGCCGGGCAGTGGTGGCGCACGGCTTTAATTCCAGCACTCAGGAGGCAGAAGCAGGTGGATCTTCGTGTGTTTGAGGCCAGCCTGATCTACAGAGGGAGATCCAGGAAAGGCGCAAAGCTACACAGAGAAACCCTGTCTGGAAAAACCAAAAAAAAAAAAAAAAAAAAAAAAAAAAAGATTTAACTCTTTACCCTAAAAATGCAAACATATTCACAGAAAATTCTGTGACTAATTTCAGGGCTCTTCCTCAATCTCTATGTATTCAGGGTTCAGTGTTGTCTCGGGTAAGCCCTACATTACAGCAAATGTTTCTTGTAGGTTTTCAAAAATCACGTTTACAAACATAAAGGTCTGAAGTTATTTCATTCTGGAAATTTTGTTGGATAAGTTTTCTAATTGGATTTAGTCTGTCATTTTCTGGTAATTTTATATAAGTGATCAATTTAGACTTTGGCTGTGAAGGTGACATCGTGATATGGAGGTGAGCAGACTGGGTAGCCTGCTTTGAATCAACAGTTTCTTGAGACATTAAAAATGGAGCTCAGGCTGGTCTTAAACTTGTGACATTCCTGCCTCCCCCTCCTTCAGGAAATGCCACTGGCGCGCACCACCACAACTGGCTAGTGTGTTGCTTACATTGATAAAGAACAAACTTGATTACAGATGCAAGATCAAACAACAGTTTCTGAAACTGATTATAAGAGCCACAAATAGTTCTTTAAAGGTTATTTATAGAAAAACGTTAATTGACTTAAAATCATGTAACTGCTCTTCTGTGCATGAGCTGATGATTTATCATTGTGTCTGAGAAGGAGAGAAAGCTATGAGGCAATGAGAACTATAAGGAAGATGTAAATAATTTTATGAGAATTATGAGGCCACAAAAAAACCCACAAGGCTTATTATTCAGATAAACTGGACAAGGAAAAAAGTTGAAATACCCTCTTCTGTTTTTATGATAAAATACAAAGAAGATTCTCCAATGATACTCTTTCTGCATAATACATAACTTGCTAATTTCTTGTCTGTTTCTGAATGTTTTATACCTTTGAAAATCAGGGAAGCCATATAGAGAAAGTTGGAACTTCCTTTATAATGAATATGAGTTCGGAAACTTTAGAAATATTCATCTACCCCAGTGGTATTTCTAATGTTGTGACCCTTTAATACAGTTCCTTGTGTTGTGGTGATTCCAAACATAAAATTACTTCATTGCTACATCATAACTGTAATTTTGCTACTGTTATAAACTGTAATGCAAATATCTGATATACAGGATATCTGATATGTGACCCCTGTGAAAGGGTCGTTCACTCCAAAGGGGGTTGAGACCCACAGGTTGAGAACCACTGGCTTATGCACTGAGTCCTTAAGTCACATCTAGGGCACAGATCTTTACCCTGGACTTCAATTGCAACTTCTGACTCTCTGCTCATCTCACTGGGCTGTCTTGGAGGTGTGTTCATGGTATCTTGAATTCAGTATGTTCTAAACTGAACTCCAGGCATTTCCCCCAAATCTGCTGTACACAAAGCCCGTCTCATTTCAGTGTATGACGATACTCCATTCATCTAAAAGAAAAAAAGGGCTAAAAGAAAAAGTTTGAATTTCCCCTTGAGTATCATTTCTCACACAGTCCACAGCCATTTGGACAGGAAATCGGATCTCTCCTGTCTTCAAAATACATCCAGAATCATACCACTTCTCCCCACCATCCGAGGTACCGTTTCTTCCAGGTTACCTTTCCATCCTGTCTTAGGTTAGCAGGCCCACTCCTCTCCTGTTCTCTGTTGCTGTCCCTGCAATTAATGATTAAATCTTAGGAACCATCATGCCTCTGGGCACCATTGATATAGGAGCTGCTGCCTTTGTAGCTTTGGAGGGTGTGGCTTTCTGTTAACCTCTGCCCTTCTGTTGCGTTTTCCATCATTCACTTTGGCGTTCTTTCATTCCTGAATGCCTTCAGGAATCTTCAGTTTTAAGGCTTTGGGAATGTATTATTTTTCTCAACTTTTATTGATTCTCTATGGATTTCACATCGTACATCCCAATCCCACTTAATCTCCCTACCCCCTTGCTTCTGCCCTCTGCCCATGCAACCTCCCTCCCCAAATCAAAATAAAATTTAATAGAACCCCCCCCCCCAAAAAAAAAGGAGAGGAATCTTGTCGTGGAAGTTGTAGTGTGGCCCTTTGAGTCACACACTTTACCCTTTAGTCCATTCATCTTTACCTGTAAGTGTTCATTGCTATGAGTCATTGGTCTGATTCAAGGCTGGCTTCTGTTACGCTATTGATAATGTGGCTCCTCTTGAATACCCTGTTGCTGTCCAGTGCTATGGAGATCCTGCAGTTTTGGATCTGTAGGTTCGTTTCCTTCACATGCTCCAACAGTTCATCGATGAGGTGGATGTAGGCCAACTCATGGCCCCGGTTCTTGGTAGCTGGGTTGGTCAGCCCGACAACTTTCCCTCATCTTCAGTACCTGGGTGGGCTAGCTCTCCAGCGTTGCCTCAGCTCGCAGCCTACAGCAAGGGATGGGGCCGTTTCTGCTCTCAGTCCCCCAGATCTAGTCCTCTCACACTCACAGCACCGGGGCCAGTTTTACTGTTTTGCTCAGTTGAGGTGTGGGTCCCTCTCTCCTCATTGTTATAGGGGGGGGATATGAGGTGGGGGTGGGGGAGTCAGCTCTCCTGCTCTCATGCCCTCAGGGCTGGCTCACCTGCTTCCTGACAACAGGGTTAGCTCTAGTGAGCGACCCAGACTGGATGTGGAGCCCACTCTCTTGAGTGCTGCAGCCTGTGAGGGGGCAGGGCGGATTCTCCGGCTTTTGTGACCCTGGGACCAGCTCTCATGCCTGTCGCAGGTAGCAATGGGTGAGCCGGGTGTGTGTGTGTGTGTGTGTGTGTGTGTGTGTGTGTGTGTGTGTGTGTGTGTGTTTCTCTTACCCTTGTCACAGTGGGGCAGGGTCAACTCTCCTGCTCTCACCTGAGGTTCAGCTCAAGTGTGCTGCCCTGTTGAGTTGCATGCCTGTGGTGAGGGGTGGGGCCATCTTTCCCAAG